GGGGGGGGGGGGGGGAACACCTGTGTGAGTATCTTGACCAACGTCTTGTTGTTGCCTGTGTGTTGCAATCCAGAAGCCGTCGTCAGACGACTCGCCGTCGCGACGGCTGCCTTACCCAGTGCCCTTCAAGTGAGTCGCAGACAGACACACCAGGCAGTCACGCCCTCTCCTCTACCGATGTGTGTGCGCCGGTGGTCTATCTGATTTGGTTGCCAGGTTGCTGGGCGACAAGGCCAAGGGTTACCTGGATGTGCTCTATGTCGACGACACCCTGCGAGTCGCAAAAGGAAACAGGTCAGTCAAACAAACCAACACACGCGGTGCGGGGGAGACTCGTGTGCGTGTGATGTATGTCATGTCATGTCTGTCTGTCTGTCTGTCTGTCTGCAGGGGAACGATCTTTGTGTTTCGGCATGAGGGTAACGAGGCGGTGCAGCGGCTGAGGGACAAGGGGAGATTGGACGATGTGCTCTAGATGTACGTCAGCCGTGAGCATGAGCGTGGATGGGCTGGCTGCGTATAGACCTACCTGGATGGTCGGAATGGGCGTCAGCAGTTTTGACCTTTTGCTCGTGTCACGTGAAATACACACCCTGGTATATTGATGCAATGCCATGCGCCTAAGCGATAACCAAGCGCTGCCTTTCGAGACCTTGTAAATGCTTGCGTATTCCTTGTGCAAACTGCTTCTGGCGACATTGAGTGAGTACGTTGGCATTCGTTTCTCATTCCAAAGGTACACATCACGCACGAAGAGTCAACCTTGATGACGCTTCGCGGACGCACGTCGAAAACGCTCCCCTGTTGGCGTGGACTGGTGTGCTGTGTGGCAGAGGTCAGGTCCTTAGCGACCGCTTGACGGACGGATTGTGGTTCCATTCTTGCTCCACTCATGGCTGACGACGACCACACCCTTGACATGGCTCAAGCCGACTCCCAGCGTAGGAAACCAAGCACCACACAATCCAAGGAGCAAACACCTCCATCTCTCTGTCTGTCTGTGTGTCCTGCATCCATCCATTCCCATGCCATGACAGCGGGTGAAGATTCGTCCTCTCCCCCGCCCCCCACAGCGACGTTAGAGTTGACTCAGTGTCCCGACGCTGTGCGGTCCAAGCTGGCGGGCACCTCGGTGACGGTCACATCGGACGGCCTGGTGGTCGGCCGCAAAGTGGATGGACTCCCGGACGCATTTGCCCTCACTGGCGCACAGGGGTACACAGCGACTTTTGGGGAGAATGATGCCTGCCCATGGTTCGGAGGGGTGTGTGTGTGTGAGTTTGTTTGTGTGCAGAGTGTCGAAGCATCATTTCGAGGTGACGTTAGGCGAGGACCGGCAGTTCATGATCACAGACAAGAGCAGTAAGAGGGAGGGAGGGAGGGAGGGAGGGAAGGGGTCATGTGGGTCAGCCGTGACGTGTGTGTGACGTTGGTTGTGTGTCAGCCAATGGGATTTACCTGAATGCCGTCAAGATCGCAGACAAGAGCACAGCGCGACTCGACAACGGTACACACACACCGAGGGTGTTCCCGGCCACGTGGATGGATGCCCCATGTGTCTGCCCACTTGTGTGTGTGTGTCACTCCTCACCTCCCGGCATTGCAGGGACCACGGTTGGCCTCATGAATCCCAGTGCTGGCGCCGACAGTGAGCATACACACACACATACGTACCACAGACCAGCTGCGTGACGGCAGTCATTGTGTGTGTGTTTTGCCTCCACTCACTTCTGTATGATGGCTGGTTGGATTGCGGCCGTCAGAGAGGATTGTGTTTGTGTTCAAGTACCCCGACCAGCCCCCCGTCCAGCCCCCCGTCAATGACGACGAGACGTCAGAGGAGGAGGAGGAGGAGGAGGAGGAAATGCAGTTCTTCGACGAGCCTGCACCTGCACCTGCACCTGCACCGGCCGCTGCTGCCGCGGCCGCTGCCCCTGCGGGTAAACAAGACCGCCCTCCCATTCAATTCACCCAGCCCAGCCACCCACCCACCCACACACACCCATTGCGGTGCATCAATGTGTAGGTGGCTCTCTGTCCAAGAAGCGCAAGCGTCGCGAGAGCCAGGCTGCTGCGGGGGGCGAGGATGAAGACGAGGATGAGGGCATCGGGGCCGAGCTCGAGTGCGGCGTCTGCAGGGAGATCATGTACAGACCACTCGCAGTCCTGAATTGCATGCACAAGGTCAGAGGGACAGAATGGGGGGCGATAATGGTGTATATCGCTCGTCATCTGTGTGTGTCTGCTTGTTATTCTCTCATGAGTTCAGTTTTGTTCGGCGTGTTTGCACGACTGGCTGACGACTCAAGACACCAACGGCCGGCGCAAGTGCTGCCCCATGTGCAAGGGGCCGGTTGTCGACGTGAGCTGACCTGACAGACCTCACGCACACAATACCAACCAACGCCCCGCCCCCCACACACATCCACCATACACACTCTCTCTCTATCTGTGTGTGTGTGTGTGTCAGGTTGTGCGCGATACGTCCTTTGCCAACGTCGTGGAGGAGTACCTCGCCAAGCACCCCAACAAGTGAGGAGGAGAACACCACACACACACACACACACACAAATCCACCACAGACGGTCATCCTTTGGTCGCCCACCGGTCAGGCAGCGGTCGCAGGCCGATCGAGATGAGATGGACAAGAAGGACAAGGCAGTCAGGAAATTCGTAAGCCAAGGCCCCATACACACACACACACACACACACACATTTTCCTGACACTGTAGATGGGCGGGGGCAAGCAGCGGCGGGCCTACGATGACGACGACGACCTCAGAGACGACTACTCAGAGGTTTGCTATGATACACAAACAGAGGGACGGGGCGCGTGTGATAGATAATGTTTTCGTCCCACACATCCTGTCCTGCCTGCGGCGGCAGGGTTCTGGTGACGACGACGTGCCGAATGAGTGTTTCAACTGCAACGCGGCCAGCGCACGGGACGGATACAGATGCCCATCGGACCCCGCACAAAGACAACACGTAGGCGTGTGGTATGAGGGAGGGGAGGGGGAAGAACCACATCCACGTGCACTGTGTGTGTGTCCCCTTGTGTGTCAGACGATGTGCAACGAGTGTTTCCAGCTGATGCCCCGGCGCGACCCTCCCCCGCCCAACTGCCCAATGAAATGTACACACACACACCATGGCCACATACATTCACACACACATGGCTGACTGGTGAGGTCATTCCTGCCTGTGTGTGCCCACCCCACGGTGTGGTGTGGTGTGTGTCAGGTTTCATATGTGACAAGTACTTCTGCTCGCCCTACCGCCCGCTGTGTCCCGGGTCCATGTTCCAGGGCGGCGACAGAGCATTCATCGGGTGCAGTACGGAGGGAGGGATGGATGCACAAAACGGTCTGTCTGCCTGTGGGCATGTACGCGTGTGGTGTGTGTGTGCGGTTGTCCCTCATGTCAGGGGGGATTCGCTGCAGCGTGCCAAGGACATGGACGCCATCAACACCATACCCGATAAGACATTCAAATTCAACAGTTTCGAAAAGGTGAGCCCCCCCCTGTCGCGGATGGATGGATGGATGTGTGTGATGCTCCTCTCTCTCCCGAGCTTGCTGCACTTGTAGGGCATTCTGCGTGAGGTGTTCGCCAACACACAGACGACGGTCAAGCAGGCGCTCACTTCGGTGTTCCAGAACCTAGCCAACGCTGCAGCTGCTGGGGGCGGTGCTGCTGGTGCAGGGGGTGCTGCCAGTGGTGATGGTGGTGCTGCCAGCGCATCGGGCACTCAGACGCAGACACAGGGCCCACCTGCCCCGCCCGGCACACTCAGCGTCAAATCACGTGAGACTGAGAGAGGACACAAATGCACGGGTGTGGGGTGGTGTGTGCGCTGCGCATGGCGGCGCTGGTGTGGTGTGGTGCACTGCAGGGACTGGTTTGGTGAAGCACATCAGTGGGGACGAGTACGTCTGCCGCCGATGCGGCGTCGATGTCATTGCCGGTACGGTGTGTATGATAGCAAACAAACCGACGGTGCCGCACACAAAGAAAGACACACACACAGCTCTCTTGTTGCCTCCCTCTCCCCTGTATGCCTCTCCCCCTCTCCCGTGCACTGCAGAGGCGCTGTATGAGTACCGTGCGTCACTGCCCCGCCCGTCGCTGCCGCAGCGTGCCCAGGCGCAGACGCAGAACTGCTGGTGGGGCCGCAACTGCCGCACGCAGAACAGGGACCACCACGCGCAGAAGCTCAACCACATCTGCGAACAGACCAGATTCACATGAGGACATGAGGAGGGAGGGGTGGGCATCGATGGATGGATGGATGGATGTGGCAGAGAGGCCAGCATGGGTGTCGTGGCCAGTCATTTCATGCGTGTCGTGTATTTAGCTGAGAGACTTGTTCGTCGCTCAGAGGTGGATGACGGGATGGGTGCGTGTGTTCCTTGACCGACGGACGGTGTATGGTAGGGATGCAGAGGCGGCACTCAACGCCAATGCAATTATTATTATTTCGATCATTCCGCGGGCTTAGGGACAGGTGTCTCGTCAAACCCTTAACCGACCGTTCCTGCCAGCCTTGTTGCAGCGCATTGGGCTGCAGCGCTTGTGATGCCTTCCACATAGCGCTGCATTCGACATAAACATGGTTGGAACTCATCGCTGAGGCATATCTGCGCGGCACCATGGCGGCTGTCACGGTGAGGCGAGCATGGGACAATAAGAGAGCGGGAACGCCGGTCTGGTCAATCAGGAGGTGCTCTGTGTTCGGTTTGTCTGACAAACAGATCGGTAGCATGAAATGGCCGCAGCAGAGAGGTACGCCCGACGCCCACACAGCAACAGGCCACAGATGCACTCAGAGGTGTGCTGTGCTGTGCTGTCTGTGATGTGTTGCAGCCGTGTTGGTGGGTAGGATGGTCAAGAGAGCAGCGTCGATGGGCTGCCGCGACGCGACCGTCATGCGGGCGGTGCGGCTGCTGGACCTGTGCCGCGCAGACAAACTCATCGACACGAGCAACACCAAACAGGCAAAGAGATCTGAATGACAGACAGAGAGCAGCGACTCACGGGATGTGTGTGTCACTTGGCTGGCTGCTGGCACACAGGTAGCAGATGCGTGTCTGGCCGCCTGCGTCAAGCGGCTGCAGCCACACGTGCTGATGGACGACATGCCGGATGACCCCCCACACATACAGGCACAGGTATTGAAACACAGACACAAACACAGACACGCACGCACACCTGTGCAGCGCCGACCCGTCTGTCTGTCTGTCTGTCTGTCTGTCTGTTTGGCTCTGTGTGTGCAGGTGGTGTGTCGTGCGGCCGCTGATAGTTCTGTGTGCGGCATTGAGTGTCTGGAGAAGCTGTTCACTGCTGCCGGCATGGACACCCACGGCCGCCTGTTCTCATTCGCCAAATACCTCATGGTGAGTCGGGCAGCCAGCCACACACACACCTCCAGCCATCGAATGACTTCTCCCTGTCTGTCTGTCTGTCTCTCCGTGCAGTTCTTGTCGATGTGTGACATCGACTTGGCCGGACGCGATGTCCCCCTGCTGGCCGCCACGGCCGTCTACATCACACGCAAGAACCACCAGAAGCAGATAGCGGGCGGCATATGGGTGAGCCAAAGCGACACGTGTCATGATGTATCTAAGGCCTGTGTGGGTTTGTGTGTCCGATTGTTCATTGTCAGAGTGCGGCCCTTGTGACTCAGAGTTCGGTTAGCGAGTCGAGGTTGGAGTCGAGCATGACGACGTTGAGGATGCAGCGGCTCATGTGGGGCGACACACAGACCACCAAAGGGGTGAGCATGTCAGAAGACCAGTCGAATCGCCACCACAGCACCGTGTTGATGTCATTGTGTGTCGTTTGTGTGGTGTGTGCAGATCGTGACCGATGCAGTAGACGAGCTGTTCGCCTCGCCCGACCGCCACGGCGTCGCATCGTCCCGCAGCCACACACAACAAGAGCAGCAGCAGCAGCAGCAGGTGGGTGGTGAGACATTGCTGACACAAGCAATGAGTGTTGCGACGATTCCATCTGTGCGTGTGCAGGTGTCTGTCTGGTGGCTGGTGCTGGTGTGGCTGTGGCTGTGGCGCCTCTGCTGTCAAGTGTGGTCATGGTGTTGCGGGCGGCCCTCAGCCGACGAGCAGCACGCCCTCGCCCATCTGTTTGCCGAAGACCGCTGCCGCACCCCCGACATCAGCACCACACTGGCGCTGAGGGCAGCCGCACGAGACATCAGAGACGCCTTCTCATCAGACCAGCTGCGCAGCCGACTGGATCACTCACTGAGCCGTGATGGCGACGGCATCAACACCCCACAGCTGCAGCTGCTGCGGTTCGACCCATCGCTGGGGATGGGTGACCTGCTGGCGGCGGTGTGGATAGCCGAGGAGGGCGGGCGGTGGGATGAGACGGGGGAGGTGCTGCAGCTGGCCAGCCAGTGCGGCGACTGCACGCTGCCCATCAACCTCACGGCAGATGACATCCGCACACACGCCAACAAGACGGTAAGGCACACACACACGAGGGGTGGGAGGGAACAGAGAGGCCTCATTCTCTCTCTCTCTGTGTGTGTGGTGTCGTCTAGGCGTATGGATCGTTAGCTCGTGTGTTGGCGCAGCTTATGGTGGTGGGCCGCCATGTGCGGTTCAGTGACGGCAGCCGCCTGCAGCTGTTCCAGCATGGCAACGGTGAGGTGCGGGCCATCAAGGACGAGCCCGGCTTCAAGGTGACCGTCATCCCGCCCCTCCCTGCCGACCATCTGTCCCAGCAGCGCCGACAGCGCCTCCCTGACGCCCTCCAACTGTATCAGCAGCACCGGCTAGAGCATGACCCACCAGTGCAGAGCCGCATCAACTACCATTGGCCCGGCCAATGGGTGTCGAGCGGCCCCCCGACCTTTGACGCGTCGGTGTCGTCGTTTGCCAAGAACAAGATCCTCGACCACTTCTACTTCGACGAGACTCACCACCAGACCAATCACACAGAAACACTCAACAGGTAGCAAATCAATGGCAGCAGTGGCGAGAGGGGTGCGTGTGTGATTGTGTGTGTGTGTGTGTGTGTGTGGTTGCTTCAGGCGTGTCTGTGGCGGCCGTCTGGATGGCCTCCTCACCCAGTCGCCCCACACACCAGTGGCCGGATGCACTACCACATTCAGCGGCGGTCGTACGCGGTTCCTGGTGCTCACCGATAGCAGCGACGACTTCGTCGCGTGGATTACCATTCCGATTGAGGGAAACAATAGTGGTCAGGCCGACAGACAGGCAGCTCTAGTGGTCAAGTGTCTTTTGTCTGTCTGTCTGCAGTGAGTGTTGAAGTCGAGACGACCGAGGCGCCTGCGGCTGATGTGAGTGAGAATGCGCCCTTCAAGGACCGCTTCCCCTTGACCACTCGGCTGGCCCGCGTGGCGCTGGGGCGAGTGGCGCCATACGTCTTCGACGGACAAGTAGCAGACCAGCAGCAGGATGATGACGGTGCGGACAGGGAAGGAAGGGACACGCACAGATGGTGGTCATGGATGTGTGCATGAATGGCATTTCTTCACTGTCTGTCTTTGTGTGTGGTGTAGATTCCGACGGCCATGGCGGCGGTTGGGATGATATGGATGACGATAGCGACGAAGAGGGTAGCGGAGGTACACACGAAGGAAAGAACGCGCAGACAGTACACACCGACCCGCATCACACGTCTGCGTGTGTGCGTCTGTGTTTGTGTCGATGGCAGGTGAGGATGCACCAGCCGAGGAGGACAGCCAAGACGGCGGCGGTGACGGCAATGCATCGCCCTAATAGCACACACACAGAGACCGATCTCAATACTCACTGGTGCGCCACAGACACACTGCAATGTCATCGGCTGATGCCATGCCTCCCTCTCTGTCTGTGTGTGTTGTGGTCAGGAGGGTGGCCGAGCGCTGCCTGTCACCCTCTCTCTCTGTAGCTCGCTCATCGGCGCAGATCAGATCAGCTGCTGATGTCGTGTCGACCGAATGGACCGCGTAGCTGGCTGTGTGTGGGATGAAAGGCGGACATGGGTGTGGGCGGGTCTGGGGGTCCTCACTCCCCTCTCTCTCTGTGTGTGTAGCCCCCCTCCATCTCTCGACATATACATCTGCTCTGCGTGAATGAGTGAGTCGATATGCAGTGGGCTGTCTGTCTGGCTGTCTGTCTGGCTGTCTGTCTGCGTCTGTCTGCGTGTGCCTGGATGTGATGTGGATAGACTGACTGATCTGAACGTGTTGGTGCACAGAAATCGATACACACTCCATCAAACACTCCTTGGCTGCGCTGCCGTGTCTATTTGGTGTGTGTCGTGGCCAGCCATTTCATGCATGTCGTGTGTTTAGCTGAGAGACTTGTTTGTTGCTCAGGGGTGGACTACCGGATGGGTGCGTGTGGTGGTGGTGTATATATTGTTGCGGTTTGGTTTGACCTGTCAACCGTTTGTAACCAGTCGTATTCAAGGGAGTCCTTCATCGTCCCCTCCCGCCCAACGATATGCACACACACAAGAAACACTCATGGGATTGTACGCAGACAGACAGACAGACAGAGAGGCAATTGTAGAGTAGACACGTGAGCACCTGCTACCCTACCTATACACACCCACCCACCCCACCCACCCACCCACGAGCACCAGCCCAGGCAATGCGATGGATCAGATCACTCGACACACAGAGAAGAGAAAGAACCAACGGGCGGAGGGGCAACGGACGTTTGTTTTTTGGGAGGCAGGAGACAGACACCGTATGCAGGTCTCGACAGCCCTCTCACCGACGTACCGCACCCTCCGATACACTACACACACTCACAGATACATACCCACACACAAGCACACAAGTGATGGATGCTATTTATTGTCTCAATTCATGTACTCACCCCCACTAACCCCCCGAGCGCCCACGCATTTCCAGTTCGTTCGTTTCATGCCCCCCTCCACCGCACCGCACCGCACAAACAAAACAAACAGGCGTGTGGTGTGAATGGCAATGCAATCTCGCAAGCAAAACAACCGACGCAAAAACGATACCTCGAGTACGATAAATCTATCTAGATAAGGTAACGTAACACATGAAGCTACAGACAGATGGGGACGGTGGGCCGTGTCTACACAGGTGAGGGAAGCTGCTGCAAACGTCTCGGTGTGCGCCGGTGGGTCAGTCAGTCAACCGGCCGGCCGGCCAGCCAGCCACACGGAGGGAGCCACGCTCATACAGTCTCACCTTCATCCACCGCATGCTACCGCACCGTCGCACACCGCGGCGTCACACACGTGACTGCGTCAGCCAACAACTATCAAAAACGTCACAATACATACATCCCGTCAGGTTTCCCTCTCTTCCCCCCCGGTGAGGTGAGTCAGTATCTAGGGTAGGTGTTCCGCTGCCCCCGCCCCCGACGCCTCCCTCCTGCTGCGTCTCCTCCCCTCCCTCTCCCTCTTCCGCCCACCCGGGCTGCCCTCATCCTCCTCATCCTCAGCTTCTTCCCCCTCCGTCTTGCTCAGCGTCTGGGCCGTGTCCGCCGGTTCTGGGGCGGGCGGCGGGCCCAGCTCGAACCCCGCACCTTGCGCAGCGAGGTTGGCGCCAGTGGGGGCCTCTCCACCGGGCGGCGGCGGCAGGGCTGCCATACTTTGGATCGGTGTGAAGGCAGAGGTGGGGAGGTCGCGGATCTGCAGCATGGTGAACTTCTTGAAGCCGTTCTTGGCCGAGTAGATGTCGATGCGACGAGACCCGAAGCGTAGCAGGCCGAGCCATCCCGTCTGCACGAACTGAGGACATACGGACGGACAGAGAGGGGGTGGAGTAAGCGTGTGTGCGTGCAATGCAGCATGTGGTTGGTGGTGTTGTGTTGTGTTGGCTTACTGTGGCTTTGGAGTCGATGGCGACTTTCTCGACTTTTTTCGTTTTGTCGTGGAAGAGAGCCACTGACTCCTGCAGCCGCCCGTCGGTGCCGTAGTCATCGTCATCGTACCAGTAGCTCTTGAAGTTCTTGGCCGCATCTGACCACACACGCAGACAGACAAGCCTATGGCGCTCTTTGTCTGTGTGTGTGTGTGTGGGACTGTGCCTGGCTGTGCGTGTCAGTTGTTGATTGACGTACGCGAGAAGAATCCGTCCCAGTCCAGTGGCCGCACCAGGTTCTTGATTTTGACTTTCTGGCCGCTCTCCTTTTCCCACTCGCCCGTCAGATCCCACCGGTCAATACCTGCACGCGCACACATGAATCCATCCCTCCACCCATCATGCGCTGTCGTCGACCGACCGGCAGACTGATTGGCTGACCGTACGTACCGTATGTGACGCCATGTTTCTTGTAGAGTGATGTGGTGAGCTGTGGCGTCCTGAGGAGCATGCCGCGGCCCTTGCCGTTCAGGTAACCCTCGGCATACTGCATGATCGCTACACCGTCATACATACCACCAAACAGGACAACAAAGGGGTCCGATCATCGATGGGAGTGGAAGGCAAGGCGCCAGGAAGCCCACCCTGCTTAGCTTACTGGTCATGTTGTCGCGCACATCGATGAGGATCTTGTTGCACACGTTCAACTGACACACACGCACACACCGATCTGTCTCTGTCTGTCTGTCTGCCAGCCCAACCACGCCACGCCACGCACCGAGAAGGATGTGATTCCGACGACAGCGAACACGGCGCCCAGGATGTACTTGGTGCTGAGGAGCGTGTCGGTGTGATCGACTCGGATGATGAAGGGCTGATTGTTGACGGGCGAGAGTGTGGCCACGCGGCCCCCCACACCGATTGACGTCTTGGTGAACATCTGCCAGTAACCGCTGATGTCATACGCTGGCCGCACAACACACCACACACAACAGACAGACAGACAGGAGCAGAGCATGGTCTAAAGGTCAACGAACTGAATTGTCGTGACCATCTATCTCATCTGCTTACTGCATGCGACGTAAGGGTTGCCCGTCAGAGTGAGGCCGGTGGCCACGTCGACGGCACAGGTGCAGGCAGGCACGCCGGCCTCGTACATGATGCAGTTGGCATTCACCCCACACATCGTGTTCTCCGCTACCTCCGCTGAACATACTGCACGTACCAATTGTCGACACACAGACAAGCAGCACGCATCATTGCCCCTCTTGTTGCCCCCCCTTGTGTGTGTCTGCCCTCCTGCTCACTTGGGTAGGTCACCGGCATGCCGAGGGCGACCCCAATGATAATGGTCAGCAGGAGGACCACCAGCAGCACGCGGATCTCAAGCGGGATAGAGGACGCCTTCATGATGTTGCGTATAGTGCGAAACCGTCGAGCGATGGTCAGGTTCAGCCAGCAGATTCAAAAAATGCAACAACGAAAACTGCCACTCTTTCGCTGAGGGCCCTCCACTTTCTCAGCGCGCCGGTCTCTCTGGCGGCGTGCGGTCAGTCCCTCATCAGTGTGGATGCCGTCTGTACGCTCCCCTTCACACACAATCCGCCGAAACAGCCTTCTCAAATCTGTACAGTGTACCCTGTTCTCGACGATCGTTTGCGAGCTCAAAACAATTTCATGGCGCCGCGTGTGGTTTGGTGGCTTCTCCCTGTCCTGCTCGTGTTGTCGAGCGAAAGACAGGTACAGGAACTCAAAACCCGCATCCTTTATCGCCCAAATGGATGGCATGCACCTCTGTGTGTGCAGCTGTGTAATGGTGACGCATCCATCGCCAGGGGCCACAGCACCGGTCCTTTCCCCGCATCTGTACTTCTACTCGACTCCCTCTTCATCGCCCTTCTGGCCAACGAAACGACCCGCCCTCAGTCCCTCCTCCTCCTCGGTGTTCTCAACACCACGGTCAACTCGCTGGCTGCTCTGCCGGGGGGAGGTGCCCTCACCGATACCGAGATGGCCAGCGAGCTGCTACTGCCGGCGCTCAACGCTCTGGCCAGGCCCCTTCACGAGAACGGGACCAAAGAACGGGTCGACGACAGCGCTGCTGCACAAGTTTCTGGCCTCCTTGCCATTTCTGATGGTCCGCGGCAGCAGCGGAATGATGGTAACGATTGTTCTGCCGTCGCCTTGACCGTCTTTGCTGCCATTAATGACACTTATGAGCGGCTCTTGCGTGGGAAAGCTCTCTCGAATGGAACAGATGACCAGCTGCAAGTTGAGACGGAGAGGGCTGTGCTCGACATGCTTGAAAGAATAGTGACGGCTGTGGCTGAAGCGGGTGCCGGGTCGGACGATCTTGTGGCGATATCCATCCGTCTTTTGTCGGCGACATTTGGCGATGCTTTTGGCAATCGACCTGCGAAGACTCCATCCATCGATGCTCAGGGCACACAGGATTTCCTGGCGGTGCTCCATGTGATATTCAAGGCGAGTCTCTCGCCGATTCTGCAGCATGCAGCCGGCAAAGTTGCTGTGGAGGCACTGTTGGCGGGCTGGAGAGACTTTCTCGTGTCTCCCACTGTGAGCGAGGCGCACGAGGCGGTTCTCTTTCTATTCTCTCCCCTTATGGATGCCAGTGCTGGAGCGCGCCTCGACATTTCACGCGCGACGGGCCTCGCGGCGTTTCTCTTGCCATCTGCTCTAAATGATGTGATCGCAGCAATGGAGGAGACACAAGACACTTCCGATGGCGACCCTACTGCTATCGGTGCCTTCATTGGGCACATTTTTGCGCTGCTCCAGCCATCCTGCTCTTCAGCTGATGAGGGCACAAGCGGTGCCTCGATGGCCACCACCGCTCTATTCGACAGCCTCGAGGCGCTTCTCGGTGGCCCTTCGACTTACCACCTCAGCTTCCCTCTTGAATCTGCCCTGAACGGCGCCGTCAACTGCACAAATTGCACCTACGATCCCTACGCCAGCCTTGCTATCGACCTCCTGGACACATACATGACGCCGAGCAGCACCCAGAAAAGGAAGCTTGGCTCGCCATCCATCGATGCGACACAGGCCGCCCAACTGCTCGAAGGCATTGTCCTGGCGAACTCCACATCGAAAGTGGCGATTTCCACTCTCGATGGTTTGGTCGATGCACTCGGGCCTGTCCTCCTCTCGCAGAACGAGACAGCAGACACGGCTCTCCTCTTAATCAATTCCACGCTAACAACTATTCTGGAATCGGCTGACCCTCACACGGACTTTTTCGCCATGGCCAGCCTCCTTTTCATCGGGTTTCAAAGCTTGGCATCGATCCTTCATGACCCAGACGCATACGAAAATCTCACTCGGCGCACAGATCTTCTATTGAGCGAGACGGCCTTCCGGTCCCTTTTCGATGCCGATGAAGTCGACTATGGCGCCTCTACCGACTCTCTACAAAGCTCCCTGCTCGACCCCGTGGAGGAATTCTTCCAAGATCTTGAATTCTACGGCCTGAAGCTCACGCGGGGCGGAATCTGCCGTCTCTTCTTCTCATTTGGCCTTGGTCTGGGTGTGCTGGGGTTTTTCTTGCATCGGATCCTGCCCGCATTGGCCAACAATAAACTGCTGCCTCGCCGTGTCGCGGACCACATCGCGCTACACTATCCCTTCTATGGCATGCGATCCTCAGCATCGGCTGACCAGGGGGTGAGGAGAGGTGCTCTTCTGCAGCGTGTCTCTGTATGGCTGCTACAGCTGCTGCATCTGGGGGCTGAATCAGACTTGAACGAGGGCAAGTACGTGGTGCCGGTAGGCGCGTGTTGCGCCGACATGTGTCGATCGGTATGTGGCTGTTGCTGCTGCTGCCTGTGGCCATGTCTGCGGCTGCTGTGGGCTTGCTTGTGCCGGCGCCGCGCTAGTCAAGAGCCTTTCCGCACAAACTATCGTAAGTGTAGAGCGGTTCGCGGCTGTACTTTGGAATCCAATGGGTGTCTTATGACCAGGCTACGTATTTGTGGATCTCTGCGGCACAAGAACAAAGAGCCGATGGACCAGCATACTGCTCCTTATCGTGAGTGTCATGTAGAGGCGATTGCAGGAAAGCAGAAAAGAGCCGCCTGTGAATCCCTTGTGCGATGTCGTGCAGATCTTTCTGTGGTCATTGTTCGAGTCATGGACTGACTTCTCGGGGGGGCTCGCCCTTGAAGGGACTCTCGGAAAGCGGATCGCGCGCGGCATCGACGAGTCTTTTCACCAAACAGTGGGCTTCCTGCTCGTTATCCTCTTGTCGGCCGTGCTCTCGACGTGCCTGGGAATGAACATTTCCAACAACATATATGTTCCCCGGCTTCATCCAAGGAGACTTGTCGACATATGTTCTCCGAGAGCCGTCGGCAGAGGAGTACCCCATCCACCAAGTCATGCTGGCGGGCGTCGAGCTGCTTCTCGGGGGCGCCTATTTCATGCTGGTCTCTCTCATGGGCCTTACCAATCCATTTGGTGCGTGGTTCTTCTGCAATGTCGAGATGGCGTGTCAGACGTACGCAAGGCAGCGCATCAAAGGAGTCCCCACAGGGCAGTCGAGAACTCCCCCGCCGGCCCCGCCGATCCCCTTGTACTTCCCGACGTATTTTCTGCTGGTGATTGCCTTCTCTCTTTCTTGGATGGTGCGGACGGCCATCCATCAAGTCATCCTACTCAGCTGGAAGTATCTGCTGGTGACGGACTTGTTGAAGGACGTCGATATGGGAAACACAGAGAAAGCAATGGGACTGGCCAAGTTTCGTAAGCTTCACTGGCAAGATGCTGTGTCTCCATTGGGTTAATGTCCTTTGGCCTGACATCCGCAGTATTCGGGGGCCTGTACCCACACGCGGAGGCGGTCTTCCCTCTCGACAGCACAGCAGCGGCGGCCCTACTGTCCGCCCCGGGCCTGATCGAGAAATTGACCCTCTTTGTGGAGGTATGTCCAGACATGTCCGGCTCATATGCCTTCATCCATACGTCTCGTGTGCATTCATCAGTTCATGACCGTCATGCTATTCATCAGCATCCTTGCCGGCATCGTCGCCTCCAGCCTCCTGCTGCAGCGCATCCTGCAGGGATACAGAAGAACGACGCTGCGGCTCATTCGGAGCTCGCCATCAGGACTGGGGAAATGCAGAAGATTCATCATCAAAGGGAGAGAGAGAAGATGAAAGAACACGGCGGGGCGGTGGAGACGACAACACGACAGGAGGTGAAGGTGGTCCACAACCTTTTGGTTGCGACCAAGCTCCTCGGCATCACTTTCGCCCTCGTGACGATATCATTCTACCTCTGCGAGTTCGTCCTGGCCCTCCTGTCTCTGGCCGCAATCACCGTCTACTTCGCCCGCGAGATCGTGTGGGCTGCAGTTGTCGCGTATCGCAACTTCATCTTTGCTCTCGCAACGCTCTATTTCATCCAACTGGTCCTCATCGTGTCCCTGTTCAAGAGGGTGGTTGGCCCCAGTGGCCATGTGTCCCGGCCGGCATGGTTCCACGCCTTCTTCGACCTGATGGTCTTGGTCAATCTCCCTTATGGTTTGGTGCTTGGGGTGACCCGGGTGCTGATCGTGGCTGCGTCGGGGGTTATCCATTGCTTCACAATCGACCGAACACCCATCACGATTGCCGCCCTCGATGGTGAGTGAGCACACTGACGCAGCAATTATTCTCTGTCGTGCGTAGCTGGAGGGATGGTGCGTGTGTGTGTGTGTGCGGGCAGCTGCACACGGGGCCTTCCTGAGTGCCTGCTGGCTGTGCCACCACGAGTTCAACACCTTGTACCGTGCCGCCCTCACATGCATCAACAAAACAGTCCACAACGTCACCATGACCGTCCCCCCGCCGTCCCCATCCACCCTCAGGCGTGTCCGCAACCGGCTGTGGCTGGCCGTCACCCTGCACAACAACCCATCCCTCATCGACATGCGGCACCGTCCTGCAGACGAGACACAAGCGCCTGATGGGGCAGCCAGAGCTGCTGTGATGGCCAAGTGTCTGTGGTGCCTGCGCAAGGGGCAGCCGGCAACTGAGGAAGGTGGTGAGGAGGGGCTGGCAGATCACGAGAGAAGGACGACGGCGTATGTGTTCTCGGGGGGGACAGATGGGGATGACGGCAGGAAACAAAAGGGATGTGACAAGGAGAGGATACCGGAGGAGAGGGAGGTGAATGCTATGCCAGCTGCAGAGGTGTCAGGGGAGGTGTTTATTGATGCAGACATGTCGCTGCGAAATGACGAATTGGACGAAGGAATGGTTAATAGGCCAACGTCGACAGTAACATCTCTTTGATAGGGGGAAAAGACGCGCATTGATTGCATTTGTGTTATGTGACAAATCGACCGACTGACTGACATGGTTAAACAAATTGTTCTGTCTCTCGTCTGTGTGCATTGACTGACGTGAACCACACGCCTCCCACACACTAAGTGGAGGCGTTGCACGGTCAAAAAGAAGTGTCCACCCATCCGCCGGCCACCACATACACCCGCATACAAACACAAACACTTCCCCCTCCCTCCCTATCCCTTGATAACGGCCAGCGGTCTCAGGCGTACGGTCTTCTTGGATATGCCCGCCTCATGGCACGTAGCAACGACACTCTCCACGTCCTTGTACGCAACGTCGGCCTCCTCGGCCGCCAGGCGGGGCTGAGCGATCCGCACCTCTATGCCGCTTGACCTGTGAGCAGGCAGGTAGGCACACCAACACACACGCACATGTGACCCGTGTGTGTGGGGGGCATGCTGCACACGTGCCTGAGGCGGTTGAGCACACAGTTGGAGTCGTTCTCTCGCAACGCCTGGGAGCGGCTCAACGCACGACCTGTCCACACACACAGAGGTTCGTGTGGCTCACACAACTTGGGTTTGAGGCATCGCTCCCTGTGTCCCTGGCTGCCTGGGTACCTGCGCCATGGCAGGTGGATCCGAATGTCTCCTCCATGGCCTTGTGGGTGCCCGTGAGGACATAGCTGCAGGTGCCCATCGAACCACCAATCAACACAGGCTGGCCGACCCCACGGTACCTGCATGGCATTCATACAATACGCACACATACGAAAGACATAACCAATCGTTCGTCGAGCGTCCGTGTCACTTTTCGGGTATTTCTGGGTGGCCAGGGGGGAACGCACGTGTGGCTGCACAGCACGGCACAACCGAAATGACGGACCGCAGAATGTATGTATGTTTGCTGGTGTTATAATTGGTCCTCACCTCCCTTCCGGTGTACGAGGAGTATCCGCGTCGGGCCGCCCTCCTCAGCGGGTCGGTGCTCCTCAACCTTGGCGATGTTGTGGGCCACGTCATACACAACATACAAACCCAACTCACGCGCATCGCCGTCAAACACATCCGTCACGGCCTTGCGCGCCGAGTGAGCCATCAGGGTCCGGTTCACGAAGGCGTAGTTGGCGGCAGCTGGGGAACGAAGGGAGATGGAAAATGTGAGTGGGTGGTGGGTGAGGGTGCTGGTACGGTGTACCTGCCATTGCCTGGAGGTAGTTCTGTCCCTCAGGTGATTTGATGCGGACGGCGGATAGCTGCCGGTCAGGCACCTTGACGCCGCTCGACTCCATCACCTGTACGCACACAGTCGCACGTGTGTGTCAGATACACGCCAGACTCTGCTCTGCGTGTGTGTGAGGCCTGTGTGCGCAGGTACCTGTAGGGCGTCAGTGCAGACCTGGTGTCCGAGTCCCCGTGAGCCCGAGTGGATCATGATGCACACGTTGCCCTTCTCCAGACCCATTGCCGATGCCGCAGCCTCGTCGAACACCTCGTCCACCACCTGCACACAGCCATGCAGCCATTCATCATTGACCATACACCATGACGAGCCGCACGCCGTGTGATTGTCGGTCGGTGCACCTGGACTTCGATGTAGTGGTTGCCGCTGCCGAGCGTCCCCATCTGGGGCATACCGCGCTTGCGCGCACGGCTGCTCACCTACACACACGCAGAGAGACAGAGAGACAGAGAGAGAGGGAGAGAGAGAGAGACTCTGCTGCTGGTTGTGGTTGGGTCGATCGGATACTTACCTTGTTGGGGTCTGCGTCTTTGAAGCATCCCTGTTCTTCGCAGCACTCGAGGTCCTCCAGCCAGCAGTAGCCGCTCTCCAAACACCAACGCATACCACTCTGGTAGACGGACAACAATGGTGACAGCAGTGTCGCACAAAATGGGATGGATGTACGTATGGTCCCGTGCCCTGTTCGCTGCGCACCTTGAGCGCGTTCTTGAGGTCGGCTTCCGTCGCAATGTAGGCGCCACTTGACCCCACCTGTGTGTGGGCATATACGGGTGCACGGTTGCGTGTCTGTCTGTCCGCCATATGCTGTGTATCATAGTACCCCAGTGGGGATGGCGTCATAGAGGGCGGTGGCGAGTTTGCGCAGACGCTTGGGGTCGCCGTTGTGATACAAATCACCCTCCTGCCATCGCACAACACAACACACCACCCAAACACAGCACACGCGTTGCTTGGCCGACAGCCAGAAATGTCTCGTGAGGACAGGCAGACCTTGAGGTTGCTTCTGAGAAGCCGCACACCACAGTTGATGTCGAAACCTACCTGCAGAGACATACACACCGTACCGTCAGAACGTCTCGTGTCACGCGCGTGTTTGCGTGTCCATGTGTGGTGTGCAGTGGGTGGCTGGGCTGCGTACCCCTCCAGGCGAGACGACTGCGTTTGGGTCAGTCGTGTCCATGGCCGCCACGCACCCCACAGCAAAGCCATACCCGCTGTGGATATCGGGCTGCACACACACTCACACACACACACACACACATGGCTGTCTGTGCATCGATATGCCTGCGGTGCATGTGCATACCTACCATGCCCAGTGATGACCCGACAATGCCTGTAAGACATCAGTAAAGATGGCCGGTCCGTTTGGATGTGAAGGTGCGGTGCGTGCCGGGTGGTGGGCTGACCGGGAAGGCATGCGACGTTCGCGACCTGCTTGAGGGCGGGAAGGAAGCTGCCACTCGACTCTACACAGATCGACGGATGGACGGATGGGTGGACGACACGGTGTGTGCGCGTCAGTGAGTGTGTTGGCGTATGCATGTGGCTGCGTACTGAGCTCTGCAATGATCTGCACGGCCAGGTGTTGGTCCGCGTAGATGAGACCTTCAACGTTCATCTCAAACCCGCCCTTGGGCTTCACGAAACACTTGCCTACACACACACAGAAAGGCGCATGAGTGAGTAAACCGATCAACCATTCGTTGATTGACACACAACACAAACAGGGTCTCGTCACGCACAACACGAACACCCACACCGACTGCATGAAGTCCAGGCCCCACAACACGGCCACGTGCAGTCACGAGCAGGCAATCAGTGACTGACCAATGCGCCACTTGTATGGTCCAACTGGCGTGATGTCCTCAGGCAGGTGCTTGAGGCCAGCACCCACCAGCACGAACGACACCATCTCGCCAAACTCGCCCTCATACGCCACACCAGCCTCTTGCTCGCCCTTGCTCTGCTGCTCTGCTCTTTCCTGCACCCTCTCCCTGCGCCGCCGCTCCTGCTTCTCCTTCTTCCTGGCCTTCTTGCCCTTCGGCTGGCCCCCAGACGCTGACGCTGCTGCTGCCGCCGGTCCTGCCACTTCTTCATCATCATGCCCGCCCGTCTCCTGATGCTCCTCTTCCATCTCGTTCTCATCCTCGTGCTCATGCTCTCCCTCATCGGACGGCTCCCTCTCCTCCGCCGCCAGTGCCTCGAACGGATTGGTGCTCATGCTTGTGGTGGACGTGGGTAGATCAGCGGATCCTGACGAGTGCCGAGCGGACGACTCTGACGAGGGGATCAAAGACAGTGGGGCTGTACTGGGTGCGCTTGTGGTGGACGTAGTCGAGTAGGATGTCTATCCACTCCTTGCGACGCTCTGTGGTCAGGGTGAACCAAGTGGCAGCTGAGAAGGCCGCCAGAGGCAAGGCAGTGTTGAACGCCGTGCCAATCCGCTTCGATTGGACTGGGTTGGTCAGCCCTGCAGCAGGATCCATGTCGTCTGGTCGTGGCCTCTGTTCTGTCCACCAGCAGCAGCGGTTTCAGGGAGCACCCTAGGTGGCCTGACGGCCAAGTCCCCTGTGGGTCTGTCCAACATGAAACAGGCACCCTAATATGCAACCCGGACACGAAACACGCAGCACGCAGAGGGCAGATGCAGCAGACAGGAGGATATGCAATGCGCTGCGAACGACGGCCACATACAAGCAGGCACACAGCGTCGCACACACGGCACCCCAGCAGCAGCTTGAAGGCGGCGTGCGTGCGTGCGTCAGGCACCATGACTCCATACGTAGATACCGCCCATCCCCAGGTGGCCAGCGACTTGCGAGCTTAGCTTTTTGGGAGAATGGCTTTGTTGTACGCCGTGAGAAACCAATCAGTAGGCTATAGCCGAGGTTATCCATCTGCGGGCCGACACATCATTTACTCGAAAAAGCCCTTCAAATGATCAAGGTAATTTGGCACACAGAATTTGATCAGTCAGCAACACACGCACACACACCGAGGCTATAGCAGCAGCAAGCACACGCAATGAGTTCCAAGACCGTCAAACCATCCGTCCGCCAGCCAGGCGCCACCGTCTCTCTATTCACGTGCAGGCAGCAGGTGAGCCACCACCACCACATTCATTCGTTCACGTGACGCCTCAGTGGATGCCTCAGTGAACACATGAGCGTGATAGCTCCCCGTCTGCCCACCATCCATCCATCCATGCATCCATCCATCCCCCGCCCCGCCCCATGTGTCGAGCCGTCCATGCAGACATGCAGTATCTACCACATACATACCAGTGCCGCGCGACAGGGAAGCACTCGAGTGGGTCAGGCACCGACACCCATCCATCCACACATCAAAATCCCCCCACCCTGCCACCCAAATCTGTCTGTCCGCATCTCACGTCAGCTGCAGCGATCTGAATGTCTCCCTGCCATCCCGCTCCCTCTTGACCCACCCCACCGCCCCCCACACCACCGCAGGCACATCCTTGCTGAAGCCGTTGTCGATCTGCCCCACCAGCTCCCACTTGGCCGCCTCGTCCAGGATGGCCCGCTGCACCACCTCACGCAACTCCATCTTGCGGCCGCCCACACCGCCCACCACAAATCACCGCAGCTGCGGCGCACGCACCACCTGGCCGCCCACATCGGTCGTCCCGCCCACCACCTCCCTGTTGCTGCTGGGCTGGTACACTGCCGACTTGACGAAGTGCTCCGCCGCCGCACACACACGGCGGGCCATGTCGCTGTGCCGCACCCCGATGGCCTCCTCTGTGATGGCCTCCTTGGCGGCGTCCATGTCGAAGAGGTATGACGCGATGCGCCAGCCGAAGATGGGGGCCTCCTGCGGGCCGGCGGCCAGCCGGGGGGTCAGGAGGGCCGCGAGGGAGCGGTGGGGGGCGAGGGCGGCGTTGACGGCCGCCATGACGGCAGTGGGCAGCTCGTTCAGCACTGTGGCGTACTCCGCCAGCACCAGCTGGCGCTGACGGCGGCCCTCCTCTGAGGCTGTGCGCATGCTGCTGATGTCGGCACCCGCCCGCAGCAGGCTGTGGATGATGCGCTTGTACTTATCACTCTCGGCGCGATACTCCTCCCCGGTGGCCTCGGACATGTCGGGGTGCTGCAGCTCTTGAAGTTGGGTGTGGTGATCGAGCCACCAGGCAGCTATGGCGAGGGGCGTCTCGCCGATGCCGAAGCAGTCCCGTCTGTCGATCTGGTCAGCGGGCAGCTTGCGGCAGAGGTAGTCGGCCACGTAGGGAGAGCCATAATATGCCGCGTCGTACAGTGGCGTCCGCCCACCGAGGCTCTCTGCCATGATGTCGGCCCCGTTCGCTGTGACGAGGTCCAGATAGCTGTCGACGAAGGACGGGGGGAAGTGGCCCTGTGCCCGCTCGGCTGCCCGATGCACCAGGTTGATGCCGTTGAAGCGTCGCTGGGTGGCGAGGGTGGGGTGTCGTGCGATGAGTCGCTGATGCCTCGACGTGAGCCGCTGCAGATCCTCGAGGGGAGGCGGACGCAGGGGGAGGGACAGCTTCATCATCATGTGTGCGCCTTCGTCTGGTACGCACAGCCCCACACGACACACACAGTGAAGGAATGTGTGTGCGGATCACATTCTTTCGCGTCTGTCTGTCTGTCTGGAAACACTGCTGACGCTCGTCGGATGGGGCGGTTGGTGCTGTCAATGAGTGCTTTACCGATTCGGATTCGCTATCAGCTGCCGCCTGTAGACCTCCCTCCTCCTCGGCCATCTCGCCGTCTTCCTCCTCGGTCATCTCGCTGTCTTCCTCCTCGGCCATCTCGCCGTCCTCCTCCTCGGTCATCTCGCCGTCTTCCTCCTCACACAACAAATCTGAAACGAAGACATTCCAACACATTCGTCAACAACGCAAAAGTGAGTGTGCTACTGGTGTGTTGGTCAGTCTGTGTGGCGTGCTGTCGACTCACCACTGTCAGCGTTATTGTCGTCTTGCCCGTCTGCCTCCCCGCCGCCGTTGTTATCCTTCTCAACCACATCGTCTGCACACGCAGTCGAAGACACACATGCACGTGTGGCACTGATGCTGTGCGTTTGATGTGTCACATTCATCTGTATGTGGCGTACCTGCGTCGCCACCGCCATCGCCATCGTCCGCCATGGCAGCGGAGGCCATGTGGGCGGCGTCGTCACCTCCAGACATTACTAACTCAAGCAGACGCCAACAGCTGCACCGACCACATACAGAGAGGCGACAAGAGGTAGGCAGACACCTGGTGCATGTCTTGTGTCGTGTGTGTGCTCGCCCACCTAGCTATGAGCTCAAACAAGCCACCCGGTCAACAAGGCCGACCTGCGCAACACCACGCCGACACGATCTCAACACGATGGCATGGCGAACCAATCGCATGTGCGGGTACCGTCGGACGAGAGCACAGCAGAACTGCTAAGCGTCGCGGTGATTAACTCCCCAGAAGGCCTCGGCAGCAACGGAGGACCGACAGCGATATTCCCCCAGGACCGACAGCGACATTCCTTCCTCTCTTCCGAGCAGTTTCACGCAACGCCCTAGGGAATTGCGAGCTCAATTTCTCCCACGTCAGAGAGGAACGAAACGATGAAAGAAGACAATAAGAAAGAAGACAATACCGTCCGACGAGCTATGCACGAGATGCCAATGGCGAGTGTTCTTCCCGTTGCCCTGCGGTTGACTGTTTTCCTCTGCTTCCTCACCCTGTCGAGTCACGGCAGCCTCCAGACCCTCCCCTACTCCGCTGATGCCGTCGTGCGGTCCTTGGGCGACTCTCTTGTGCTCCCTGTCGACGCGCTGGAGCAGGACTCGCGCAGCGCGTGTTCGTCGCTCGATGGGCCTTTCTGCGTCGGTCTGCTTGGGACGAGAGGAAGCATGGACGTGCTTGCCGGCACTCCCGTCTTTGGCGAGGGCATCAACGGTCTCAAGGGGTGGAACGACGTCGGCAAAGGGATGGAGTTCGAGGACGCGACTGCCGAGTCGAGCTTCGCGGCAGTTCGCTTCAACGCCTGGAAGAGAAACCTGACGTCTGCCGATGAAGAGGCGCCGCCTGAGGACCTCTCACAGTCATCTGTCTATGCCATCTCGATCGGCCGCACTATGGATGACGTCGAGCAGCGGCTGACGACGCCCACGCCCCTCACCGACACGACGCCTCCCACCCAATCCATCGGCCGCCCTCTGTCGGGATTGCTGTCGTTCGAGTCCCTCTCCCCCGTCTACCGATACCTTCCCGTGTCGTTCTCGCGCGGCCTGCCCCCCAAAGTGCTCGCCACATGGTCATCAGGGTGGCATCTGACGGGCTCTCGGCCGCAGGAGCCGCCCGCCGTCCCGCTGCCGTTGAGTGGGAGGACTGGTGTGGTTTTCGGGCAGCAGAGCGCGCCTGTGGACACGGTGCGCTTCAGCCGGGCAGTGGTAGTGTCGGGGCTGCTCATGGTTAAACCTGACCCAATGCGGAACTCTGGCTGGGTGCGTGTGGAGGGGCTGAGTGGCAATGAGACCATGTGGACGATAGAGATGGACCTCAAGGCCTTCCCCACACGCTATGAGAACCTTCTGGCCGTCGACCCTAAGCTCTTCCCGCTCACTGATTCGCCCTATCGGCGCGTCACAGAGCTGCGGTTCAGCGCCTCGTCGCCATTCGCCGCTCAGGGCGTGGTGCTGGGTGGTCTGCTCGTGCACGCGCGGCACCCTGACGACGTGGGGGGCTATGATGCGTCCTATCCCGACCTGTCTGTGGACTCTCTTGACTATGTCATTGATGGGGAGCCGGCCGGTGAGGCGCCCCCCTCACCAGTCCACGGGAGGGGGGGGGAGGCTCTGGCGTCGACAGTGTACCCCGACAGCTTTCGCGTGACCCTCCTGCGAGTCCACTATGACCGCGACAAGGCCGGCGGCCTGGTGCTCAAGCCCGAGCCGACTGACGACCTCCGTTCCTCCCCCCTGCCCTCCCCCGCCCCCTCATTAGTGCCGGCCATCAGCCACGTGCAGACACAGTCGCTGGATGTGCCCATCGAGGCGCCCGTCATGTCGGTCATGGATGCGTCGACACTAGGCCTGCGCGTCAGGGGGCGGACCACCGGACAGACGGCCTTCTCGCGATGGCAGGGTGCCGAGGTCGAGGCGGATGGGCTGGGCGGGCTGCTGGACGGGAAGGTTGCGACCTCGGGACCGATCCAGGCGCTGCTCGACCAGCTCAAGGCGACAATGAGCGGTTTGTTTGGCACTGAGGGCGGGCAGGCTGGCGGTCCCATTGAGATGGTCGTGTCGGTGGTCGATACTGGCGATGGCGAGAGCACCGTATCGGTCCAGACGCTGGGCGGACACCCGGTGAGCAACCAGACCAGCCAGACGCAGAATGATCCATATGTGATGACGTGTGTTCCTTCTTTTTCTTTGTGCGTGTGTGTATGACTGTCAGCTTGACGAGTCGACTCGTGAGATGGCTGAGTCGCTGGCCAAGATGATGACACCGCAGCTCACGGCTAACAAGGACAAACTCACCAAGCGGAAGAAGCCCGCCACCGCCGGCGAGGAGCCCCCACACCCATCACAGCATGAAGACGCATATCACGACCAGCAGCCGTCGGCACCATCATTAGAAGACAGCGACGCATCCACTCTCTCGGATCCATCACAGCCAGAGGCCGACTCATCAAACGTCTACCGGTGGAGCAAGAAACATCAACACACAGACGAGGAGGACGACACAGCGGCAGAGGAGGAGGATGAAGATATCGGTGAGGATGACGAGTCGATGCCGCTGCCCAAGAAGGGTCGGCGGGCGCTGGACGGCGGCAAGGGGTGGATAGAGTGGGACGTGCTGCCCATGGGCGAGATTCAGATGCCCGCAGAGGGATTCGACATGGCCATGCTGCAGCAGGAACTCGAAAAACAACTCGGCAGCTTCGTTCAGGGTGAGTCAGACACACAGACACAGACACGCACGCCGAAAAGAGCCTGTATCGCCATGCAGCTCATTGCGGGTGTGTTGTGCGTCATGTGTCGATCAGAGGTGCTGAAAGGCACTCAGGCGGCCAACGGTGACAACACCTCATCCGACAACGACCAGAACGAACAACGGCGGCAGCAGAACAGCGGCGCACACGCATAGACCCCCCCTCCCCGGCCTCCCACCAGCAGCAGCAGCAACAGCGGTCTGGATGCATGGCATGGACCCCTCTTCTGTCCGTCCGTCAGTGCTGCGGTGTCCCTCCTTCCCCCTCCCCATCTGTGTGCTGGCGGGGCGGGCTCCTCAATCGAGGGCCTGCTGAGCTCAGCGGTGCGGCTGGGTGTGTGGTGTGGGAGGCGGGGGCAGCCACAGCCGATGCGACTGAGAGCCAGACGATTGATGGATGCGTCTTGTCAGCCGTGTTTTTTGGTGCGTGCGTGCGTGCGGCGAGGAGGGTCCAGGCGTGTGTGAAGCAGGCGACATGTGATATCTTTTTCCCTGTGGGGTGGTTGTGCGTGGGCGTGCATTGTACAGGCAGTCAGGCAGACACGCCCACGCACGCACGCACAGACAGATTGATTGATGCGGGCCTTTATTTCCTCATTCTCTTTCTTGCTGGAAGGCTGCATGAGTCATCGATCCGTGTACAGACAGACAGACAGACATAGCGGTGCCGATTTTTGCCCCTGTTGAGGTATCTTTTTCTCCCCCTCTCGGAGCACAGACAGCATGGCACGAGTGCAGGTGGGTGTAGAATACCGACCGAGAGGGCCGCGGACGGACTCTCCTCTGTTTGATGTGTGAATCTGGCTGGGTGGCTGTGTGGCGGGCAGGCTGCCGTATAGGCAATGCATGCGGACGCATGCACCAAGGAGGGCTGGGAGGGAGAGTCAATTAACGTAACGGCAGCCTGGATTGCTGGGGTGGTGGGCTGGTGGTGTGGTGTGGCGGGGGTATGGGTATTTGTCCGAAGGTGTGCATGTGATGTGCCTCCATCGACACGTGTGTGTGTGTGTGTGTGTGTTTGTTTGTGGACATGGATGACATGAGAGACCCCACTCCTGCTGCCACGCACGTCTTGTCTCGATGAATGCTATTCGTGGCTTGATGAAACACTATTCATCACTCATTCCTTGACTTCATTCCTTGCAAACTCCGTTTACAGACAGAGCAGAAACCCTGCTTCTGCCCTCATGAACGGGGGCGTAGACACAGTTTGTTTGCGGAAGGACACCGAACCCCTCACACGCGAAACTGCCGCCAGGTGAGCCATATGCATCACGAAACGCCACAAAAGGACCTTCGTGTTTCCATCGCCCCTGGTCGCTTGTGGCTGCCGTGCTGTGTTTCTGGTGGTCAGGTGATGGTTCGTTGAGAGGAGGTGTAGCGCATCCCTGTGATGGAGCCCGGCGGATTCCGAGATGACTCGTCCGTGGGGCTGTCGTCACACAACGCACTCAACACACAACACAATGCTCCGATGCGTAAGCAAGAACGACCAACACGCACAACGATGGAGCGCAATGAACGGATGAACGGATGGAGAAATGGATCATCCAAACAACTCTGGCTCTTGTGTGTTGTGTCAGCACGCCTTCCAGCATTCCCCATTCCCAGAGTCCCTCTCGCATCACCCGTGTATGGCCGCCCTCCCCGCCCTCCCCCTCACCTGCCCCACCTGCACCCCGGCATCCCCTCGCACGTCCCCGGCGTCCCTCCCTCCGCTGCGCGCATCCGTCCACATCCGATCTACGCCAATCCCATGGCCTCGAGTGCGCAACTCGGCTTCACAGCCAACCGCCCCCCCTTCTTGCCGCCGCAGAGTCTCGGCGTGCACGGGTCGAGTGTGATGGCAGCAGGTCCGTTGTTGCGGCCGACGGGAAGTGGCGGCAGGGGGGAGTCTGTCCGACACGGGAGTGATGTAGGTGACGAGGTGGCGGTGGAGGGGAGTGTGCAGGAGGTGGTAGAGTCTCTCAGGACACACATAGAACAGGTGAGATGACCGCATCACCGACTCACCACCACAGACATCGCATGTGGTCTTTCTCCCGTCCTGCAGATTGGTTGGGCTGGGCGAGTTCTGCGGGATGAGCACTCGCGAGCTCTCAAGCCGGATTGCGAAATGCCCATTCAGACACACAACAATGAAGACGCTGGCCAGGTGCATACACTCAAAGCAGCACAGGTCACACACAGCTGCACACATACATCCTTTCCTCTCCATAACCTTTCTGTGTCCAGGAGGATGCCGGCGGTTCTGCAGTGGAGCGTCTCCGTCAGGCGGCCGAGAAGGTGGAGGCTGCAGAGGCGTCGCTGTTGAGTGCGGCCAACACCCTCCTGCCTATGACCCAGATCCCTGCATCAGCATCAGCACTGGTATGCGCCTGAGCATTGGGAGAGGCCACCAGACCTCTGACATGACCTCACCGATCGGTGTTGTGTGTTGTGCCAGCATGACCGACCACCGTCGTATCGTCTGGTCAAACTCAGCGACAGACAGCCACCGCCCGAGCCACCGGTGCGCACACACCACTGCACACATAACTCCACGCAGCGAATCCCACTCGTTCACCTGTCCCTTCTCTGCATGTGTGGGTGTATCTGTGCAGGCGGCAGATCGTGTGTACGGCAACGTGGACGCCAGCGGCCACCTGCTGACCATGCACTCGTTCTGGCAGCTCGCCAAGGCCGCCGCCCCCCACTTCGACCGCATAGTCTTCGACTACAGATGCCGCGACGAGTGGGAGGCGGTGCCCCCCTCCGCGGCATTCGAGATCGGCAAGCGTGCCGTGAACCTCAAGACCGTGGTAGTGCGGCACCCCTTCCACTCCCCTCACTGGTGGATCGGCGGCTGGTCGTCGTTCATCGAGGGGCACTCGCGCGGCGTGGAGGAGAGGAGGAAGACCGGGTGGCAGGGTGGGGGGATCGAGGAACTCGTCTTTGTGACCATCCTCGCCCCGGACGCCAGCCTTCCCCAAACGGCCCCCCACACACCTCCTTCGCCCATCACCCTCCTCCCATCCTTCAATTTCCCGGCACTCAAGTCCATCGAGGGCGCCGACCAGGACCACCGTCACCTGTTCGACAGTCGGCGGTGGCGCATGCCGGCTCTCGAGCGGTTCGAGGGGGGGGCGATGTCCTTTGGGGCGTTCTGCGGCACGTCCGATCGGCTGCAGTCCTTAGATGTTGGCGCCACTGTCGTTGGCAACGTAGCTGGTGTGATCGAGGGATTCCCAGGGGAGGGGTCGTCCAAGCTCGAGCGTCTGCAGCAGATACGTGGCCTCGTCTTGGTGGGCCGGGACGCGGACTCAGAAAACATCGACAGACTTCGAGTGAGGCGCAAAGAGCACACAGAGAGATATCCGAGACATCAGGTCGTTGTCTGTGTCTTAATCGTGTCTTCTATAGGACGCGCTCAAGTCGCGGGGCTGCTCGAAGGTGCAGCATCTTGGCGTCATTTGCCGATCGGGCATCAACTTCAAGATCACCCTGCCCACCCTCCGGGCCATCGAAGGATTCCTCCCTGCGGCAGTCCCCCGATCCGGCCTTCCCACGGGGGCCGAGCTGTCGGTCAGCTTTAAGACCCGGCCCAGCCTCAGCTTCGACATGTCGCTGCTGCATCGCATCCCCGCCCCCTCCCCCCTGATGAAGGACATGCTGCGGCAGCTCGCCTCGCCCGCCCTCCAAGTCATGTGGGCGCCGGACGTGAGCTTCATCGAGCACCCGACCAGCCTCTCATGCGAGAAGGCCTTCATAGAGAGCATCCGATTCAACAGCGCCTTTCAGCTGACCATCCTCCAGAGCGGCCCCACCCTCCCTGCCGGCCACCCCTCCACCCCTGACCCGCACGCACCCTCATCATATGTGTGGTCTGTCATCGACTACATCGCCCCATCGGCATTCCCGAATGCACTCAGCTACCTGACTGTAGCCGGTCCGTTCGGCTGTGCGGCGGCCACCCGGCTGCTGACGGCGGGCAAGGTCTGCATGACGGCAGAGTCTCGCGTGTGGGCGTATGACGTGCAGGGGTCGGAGGCCCTTGACCTGATGAGGGCGATGGGCAGCGGGACAGCGCCCGGGGTGGTGCAGATAAAGGGCGTGGCGGGGGGGAATGTGGGCGGGCTGGATGAGTGGGCGCGGGCGAGCGCTCAAGATGAGCTGCCCAAGACCGATTACCTTCACATCATCCTTGACGACCGTAAGCAAACGAGACAGATGCAACTCGTCCATCCAGAAATGCATTACAATGTCTCTGTCCCCTTCTGTGTGTACACGGCTCAGAGTTAGCCGACGGCATAGCGTGGGAGCAGTTGGATACGATGCTGGAGCAGATTGTGCAGCCGACGAAGTGGCTAGTCCTCACGCTCCGCATGCGAGACGAAGAGGAGTTCCTGGCCGCCGTCAAGAAGATGACAGCCACGTTTCTGGCTGCCGACGTATGGACAGTCGACCCCTCCTCGCGGGCCCTCCGCATCTCTCGCGACCGGACGTACGGGTGGAGGGAGGAGGATTCCATGCTCACATGGATGTGCGGATATCTTTGGGTGTCTGTCTGTCTGTCTATCGTGGCCGTCAGGTAGCTGCTGCTGTTGGCGCGCACACGAGTGCATCATCTATTCATCGATGTCTGTCTGTGGGTGGGTGTGGTTACGTATGAGAAAGACTCAGGGGTAGAAGGGGTGTAGATTTGCCCAATGTATGTCTGTCTGTGTGTATGTGTGTGGTGCGTGCGGACGGTGCGAAAGTCAACCCTTCATACGTGTCCACGGTCGTCATCTCACGGTGTCCACCGAAGCCTCGCAGCTATCACCACACAGTCCTCTGCCACGTCCCGTCCATACAACATGCACCCTTGTAGCCACACCTCCCGCACGCACACAAACCCATCCGTCCAGTCCTGGTCATATTCAGTCCGTCCACACGTGCGCCCTCCGTCTGTACACTTGCACACGCTAACACGCACACACACACACACACACACACGGGGCGCCTGAACGCTCGCCAAAACCTGACTTGGGCTACGTACGTTGGCTACCTGTCAACAAGACAAGACGAGAAGCAACAGCGAATGGGTAACGTACGACTGACAAGGGAAAAACACCGTGACGCGATAAACAAATGGAGGAAGAGATGCGAAAAAGACGGGGGAAAAACCTGTAGCTAGGCTGTGTCGTGGCCGAAAAATGAGACCCACACCCCTCTCTTGGTGTGCACACACAGAATTGTTGGTTGGTTCGAATGAGGCCAAAAAGGACCCAAGACACTCGCTCAACGCTCGGCACTCGGCACTCGGCAAAAACACGCGCCGCTCCAACGGTCTATCTATTTATCTAGCCATCACCCCTTCATGACGCCCCTCACACCCTGCCTCTCTGCGCTGCTCTCCTCATGGCTGTGGGTGTCGGTGTGGTTGGTGTCCTTCTTTCTGGGTGGTGTGACGGGGCAGTCCAGGAGGTGTGGGTGTGGGGGCGCCAGGAGCGAGTTGAGCACTCGCACAAACGGCGCTCGCAGCACCGATGAACGCGAGAAACCCACTCGCGGCGGTGTGGACTCACACCTACACGAACCACCACACGAGACAGTGTGCCGTGGGTGTCTCGCGGTGTGTGTGCATGTTGTCCCTAACTGACTGACCATTCCCGGAAGTCATCGAAAGATATGGACCGCTCGTCTTTGTCTCCCTGCCCCTCCCCGTTGGCCGTCACCATATCGTGGGCAGGGTCGTGCTGCAGCGAAGACAGGTGCTGCTGCTGCTGCTGGTGCTGGTGCTGCTGTGCGATGATGCCGATGATGGGAGTGGGGTATGACGGCACGGGGGGCCGCTGGTCGGGCGGGGTCAGCTGCTGCTGGTGGTGATTTGACGAGAGGCGCGAGAAACACTCGGTGGCCGACTCACGGGAGAGCTGGATCACCTGAAGGAAGGCAGCAGGGCATGGGGGATGCACGCAGAGGCACATACATAGATGTGTGTGCGTGGTGCGGTGCATCCAAGCGTACCGATTGCGGCTGCACGCCTGCCTTCTTGAGGTCAAGAACCACAGCGGGGGTCAGCATGACTGGGGCGAGGCGGCAAGACACCACACATCCAGACGTCAGTCGGTGCCCATATCGTAGCTGTGGTTACCTGCTTACCTCTGTATATGGTAGACAGCAGGTCGACCATCTCGTCGTATGTGATGTGACCGTCGCCATCGACGTCAAACAACTCAAACAAACCTGCACACACAAATGATACGATAGACACCAATCAGACGCCCCTCCCCTCGTGCAGTGCGCTGAGACCTCTGAGTCTCTGCTCCTTGTCGCCCTCGCAGAACTGTGCGAGGCCGCACACCAACTCCAACACGTCAACCACACCATTGCGCTTCTGATCCAACACGCTGAACAACTCTGCACACACACCAATACACCAATACACACACGATGGATGGATTTGTGTCTGTCTGTGCATCCTCTGAGGCAGGTACCCTTGATGTGTTGGTTGTCTATGTGGAGGTTGGCCTCGTCCGCCACTCGCTGGAGGGCCGTCTCGAAGCCCTCCCGATACACCATCCCGTGCTCGATCTCGCGACGCACCGAACGCAACACTGACAAACACAACGCACCCACATGAAGTTGATAAGGTATGGATGGCAGACAGAATCGTTCTCGCCTCTGTCCTGTGTGTGTGTCCTCACCCTTTTCGATGGGCAGGTGGTGCAGTTGTGTCTTTCGTCTGAGGTCGCAGAGGTCCACCTGCCCGTCCCGTGTGATGTGGTAAGCCTGCGCCCACCCCTTCCCCGCCGACTCCTCGTCATGGACAGAGTGCCCGTGGTGCATCGACGATCGACGACCCGTCTTGGGCCGATCCACACGCCTGCAGGCCATCCGCCAATGAAACGGACACACGACACAGACAGACCAGTCAAGTGCCTCTCCTCTCCTGTGTGTACCTGGCGTTGAATTTGTTGGCCAGAGAGGACTTCATTCCCTCTTCTAACGCACTCAGATCCAGGATCATGCCGCCGCGCTTCGGGGCATTGCTACCGCTGCTGGTGCTGGCGCTGGTTGATGAGTGAGAGGCCGACGTGTGTGAATGCCCATGCGCGTGTGATGCCGACTTGCGCCCGGTGTGCGGGTGGTCTGCTGCAGGGGAGGAGGGTGGAGGGAGGGGAGGCGGCTGGGTCTGCCGGTCGCCTTGCACCCTGCACAGCGCACCCACAGATATATCATTCCAACACACACATGGTGAAGACGCACCTCTCTCTGCCCATCTGCCTTACCGTGAGTTGTATGTGTCGACGAAGTCCCGATAAATCCCATCGAGTGACGCCGTCACCTCGTCCATGTCCACACCGCCGCCTCCCACACGCGCAGCGCCGCTAACGCGCCGCCACTGACCACTGAAGGGCCATCTTAATTGGAACAGCGGCATGATGGCGCCTCGCCGAAACTGATGCAGGGCTCGCAGAGAAACGCGCGGTTCCATTGGAGGACAATTCAGTTGCAATTCAGCAAACAGAAAGGCCAACGCTGCAGCTGCACGCTTCCTTTCGGATCTCGGTGAAGAGTAGACGCCGTTTCCTTCGGAAATACAGCTCTCTCACGTGCTTGCCCACACAGCAAAACCTAAGGCAGCTCCTCTCCACCTTTGCCTCCGCTGCACGCTCCAGCTCGCGCCCCTTTTTCGAAGCTCGCATTTGCCAGAGAAGTAGAAGGAGAGACGATACCGATGTTTGTGCAGCAGAAGCAGCAGCAGCAACACCCGTTTATGCCCCCCTCCCACCCCTACATGCCTTTGCACCCACCTTACGCCCACAAGGCGATGATGATGGAGCAGCAGCCGCCCAATCAGCGCACCAGGCGCATTCAGCAGCCGCAGGGACAGCCGCCGTCAGCGCCCCGCCCCGACATCGCCGGCTTGTACAGCACCAACGCCACGTCCAAGGCCGAGAAGAAGGGATGGCTGGAGAGGCTCAGCTGCGCCATGAAGGACCTCTACGCCAGCCTGACGTGCCCCCTGCCGTGCTGCCAGGTGAAGAAGAGCGCGCCCAGGGCGCCAGAGTTCCCCGCCGCACGGCAGGGCGCGTCAGCACCGAGGCCGCCCATCTACCGGCCTGGTCCGCCACGACACCCACCCGCCGCAGCGACATTGGCTTCTTCACCGCCTTGCCGAGCCAGCATGCCGCCTGCAGCGTCAGGATCACCAGCTGGCACCACCGCCACCGGCCCCGACTCGCCAGCACCACCCGCAGCCCAGCCACGACAACCACCGCTGCCCGACTCGCGGGAGGTCCTCATGGCCTTCCAGCCGGCCGGCCGATACATGCAGCGCTGGAGCGACAAGTTCGCCCTTGTCGAGGGGCATTCAGACGCCGCCCCGCCGCCCCACAGCCGGCTGATGCTCAAGACACTGGTGCCCACGGGCATCGGCGGCCAGCTGGGGGGGTCCATGAGGGACGAGCTCGTGGGGAGGCTCAAGAGGGAGGCGGAGGCCATGAAGGTCATGGAGGGAAGGACAGGAGATGGCGGCCTACCCATCGCGGCTGAGGTGGTCGCAGAGGGCGACATTCCAGAGGGCGAGGAGGTGCCGATCCGCCTCATGGGGGAGGAGTGGCAGAAGCACCGCGACGGCGCCTACAAGGGCGACCGCCCGGCCGTAGCCAACACGCGTGTCGAGGCGCGCCTCTACGGCCACTTCCTGCTGTCGAACTTCGCCGGTGAGTCAGACAAAGAGAGAGGGCCACAGCCACAAACACATCACGTGTATATCTCTGTATTTGACTGTCTGTCTGTCTGTCTGTGTCGGTTTCATTCGTTCAGCACTCCTGCCGGAAGCCACCCGAGCAGAGCTGGAGGAGCAGCAGCCCCCACCCTCACCCCTGCCCCAACCGCCAAGGGCACCACCAGCTGCCGCAGCTGCTGCTGCCCCCGAGGGCCACCGACACACTCGCCCAGTGGACCCGCCGGCCATCGACACACTGCCCCAGCCCCCCAAGCCACAGCATCCCCCCCGACAGTCCCTGATTCCTGACGAGGACGAGGACTACGTCCCGTCGACCATCCTGCGTGCGCGTGCCGAGAAGGCCGCCAAGGAGGCCGAGATGGCTCGGGCGAGGGAGGCGGAGAGTGGGGATGAGGGTGAGGAGAGGAGGCAGCAGCAGGCAAAGGTGGAGGAAGGCGAGCTGTGGACCGGCAGCGTCAACCTCACTGATATCCTCCACATCCGCTGCGGCCGCCTGAAGCCCCCCAGCATCAAGTCGCCGGCCACGGCGCGGAAGCTGCAGCTCATCAAGCAGACGCTCGAGCGCCTCAACCTCAGCAAAGGTGCCTACCGCCACCTCATGGTGTCGTGCCTGTCGTCACTGGAGGGCATCCATGGGGCTGGGTGGGTGCACGGGGATACCAATGGCCAGAATGCCATGGTCGTCTGGGATCCCGTCACCCGCCGCCTCTACAGCCCCTGGATCGACTTCGAGGTGGCCAGGGCGACCACCGAGGCCGAGCAGCCCCTGACGACCACTCCACCCACACTCTGCCACGTGGAGCCGGTGGCGGTGCCCCCTCCCCACTGTGACCCAACGGCACTCAGACGTGTCGCCAAGGTGATCGAGGCGGTCATCGACCAGAGCGAGCCCACCACGGCCGCACCGGCAGCACCGCAGTCGCCCCTCTATGGCGCCTTCAGCCGCATGGCCGACAGCTACGCCATCTGCTCGCTGGCCGCCGCCATCCTCATGGGTCCCCACATGGACCACCCGAGCGGCCCCTCGCACAACCACGTCATCTTTTCCCCCGCGACCTTCAGGGGTCCCTTTGTGGACCCGCCGAGCGGCCCCTCCGACACCCACCCCATCTGTGGGCAGCAGCTGCCCTTCTTCCCGGGGGCACATGGGACCCGCAGCCGCAGCAGAAGAGATCAGCAGCAGCAGAGTCTGTACGGCCGCCACTTCGAGTGGGTGGAGGAGGAGGATGCGCTCATTAAGGTGGCCATCGAGGAGGGGGGCGAGGAGGGGAAAAGGGCGCTGCACGACATTGACGACGAGGACCCGACGAAGCGCCACAAGTGGCTGGTGGGGGCGGTGGAGCAGCGGCTCGTGTGGGAGGAGCAGAGGGGCGAGTCGCGCGACGAGGAGGCCGTGCAGGACCTCAGGATGGCCCTGGTGCTCGTCAAGGAGGGGATGTGTCCGGACGAGGGCGAGAGGCGCCCACTGCGTGAGATCATCCAGTAAGGAAGGCACGCACTCGCACATCCACTTGACAGCAAGCAGCATGCATCGTGTGTCTGTGCGGGTCTGTGTGTCTTGCTCCTGCTGCAGGCACTGCCACGATTTTCTCTGAGTAGGAGCAGCAGCAGCAGCAGCAGCAGCATGGTGGCACTGGCAGCAGTCATGTGGAGCAGCTGCCTGATGGCGTTGCAGGAGCGGCTCAAGCAGGAGCGCATGGCGCAGCGACAGCACTTCCACATACCAGGACATACACCACCAGAACCTGAAGGACATGAACATTCAGCAGCACCAGCAGCAGCACCTGCTGGCCCCTCCCCCGCCGACCTTTCCCCTCCCCGCCCGCATGCCCCCTCCCCCACAGCAGCTGCCGTCATCATACCATGTCGCATTTGAGACCATTGGACTCAGCTACAACCAGCAGCAGCTGATGCACGAGGCCCCCGATGGCTGCCTGCTGCTCACGGGCGTCGGGGACGCGGCAGCGGACGAGTACATCGGCCCAGTCGACTCGCAGATCCTCGGCTCGCCTCTCGCCCAGCCCATGATGCCGCAGCTGCAAGACGACCGCAAGACACCAACGGCAGCAGCAGGTGGCGGTGGCGGCAGGATGGTGCCTCTCGGTGCAGAAAGGTCGCATGTCCTTCGCGGCGTTGAGACAGAAGATGGGCCAGGCGGCCAGTGAGAAGGCCGGTGTCGACAAAGGCGGCGGGGATGGGGGTGTGGACAAGGGTGGGGGAGGCGGTGTGCTGCGCTCATCGGGTCTCCGCTCGACCCTCATGCAGCAGAAGCTCCACCAGCGGGCACAGCAGCAGCAGCAGCGAGCGGGCACCATTGCCAAAGTGGCGGGCAAGAGGACGGCTGTGGGGCTACAGAAGAAAAAAGGAGAGGCGGGAGACACAGAAGCGCCGAAGGGCAAAGAGGAGTAGAAGGGGTCGGAGCCGATTCCTCACGGCAGTGCGGTTAGCGAGTCCACCACTGGCCCGTCGTCCAAGCGAGAGACCGACCACAAGACTACACCGCCACTGCGTCGGATGGATGGAGCGGGCAGCAGCGGCTCTGAGCACCAACCATGTCTGAGCCACACCAGCAGAGCAGCATCAGCGGACGACGGCATTCGTTCGGCGACATCGTGCCACCACGAGCACACGGCGGTGCTGGGGTCGGGTCGGAGGCGACAAGGCAGGGTGTGGTGTGCTGCAGGTGACTGACCACATTCGAGGCCATCGAGTCGTTCGTTCACCGCCTTCTTCCTCTCACCTGCTGGCCCTTACTTACTGTGCGGCTCTTCTCGCCCAGCAGCCATGCGCCGCCCCCAGCAGACGTCACGCCATCAGCTGGGGCCCTCCTCCGCCGCTCTACGTGGAGCCCCCCACAGCAGGCGTGGGATCGCATGGCAGCTGTGCCGTGGGGAGCAGTGGGCTTCACGCGATGATGCAGAGGTGGGAAGGGAGTGCGGCCAAGTGGTGTTCTCCCGGGGGCTCTCTTCATGGCTGTGACGGCTGGGGCGGTGAGCGAGTGTGCGCAGGAGGGTGTGTCGCTCGTGCGGATGCTGCTCGCCACAACCAAGTGAGTTGGAGGCGAACCATACACCCACAGAACACACACATCTGTGTCTCTCTATCAGAGGCCCTGAATGAAGATAGCGGCCGTCGTGCTGCGTCATGACGGCGGGAAGGGCGGCCCGCTGAGCTGAGCTGGGGGGACCTGTGTTGGTGCCTGGGCATTCGCGATGTGACTGCCAAGGCGACGTGCTTCTCTTCGCACCAAACACCACAACTAAGTGGGCTTCCATCTACCACACACATGCAGACCTGCACAGCACAGGCAGAAACACGCGACACCTGTCTCCTGTCTGTCTGTCTGTCTGTCTGTGGATGGTCCAGGTGGTGGTGCCCGTGGGCCTCGTGGAGACTTCAGCAGCACTTTTCACCTCACCATCATCCCTCCAACCATCGTACACCGCCTCACCTTTCGCCCTAAGCACCATCAATACCACCACCGACAGCAAGGATACTGCTGGTCCGGCAATCGAGGTCCCCGATCTGTTGGAGGCCCTTGTTGCGGTGGCAATGGTGGCCGAGAAGGGCTTGAGGTCGGGGGCAGAGGAGAAGGACAGTGTTGTTGTTGGTGGTGGTAGCATGTGTGTGGATGGTGAGGAGGGGGGCGATGAGTGTGTGTGCGAGGGCGGGGGGCTGGAGATGCTGCGGCAGCAGATCTAGACAATGGCGCTCACGGCCATCTGCGAAATGCTCAAGGATAAGGCTGTCGTCGGTAGGATGAACACACACACACACACACACACACATACACACAAAGAGAGAGAGAGAGAGAGAGAGGACCAACCAGAAGCCCACTGTCTGTCTGCCCGTATGTGTGTGTCCGCCAGAAAGGGTGCTGTCTCGCCAGAAAGGAGCTGTTCCAGCCGCTATTGGACATCTCCCTCCGCCCCGTGCAAGTGCGCTCCTTCACTTGACCGGCCTTGCCGACCTCCACGAGCGGGCGCAGAAGTTGCGGCAGGTCGCCAGGGACAGGCTGCAAAACACCATCCCGCACTCGACCTTCCGGCTGTTCAAGGGCCTCCTGCCCACTGCATGGGACTTCCAAACGGCCCGGCACTTCATCTTCAGCTGGACGAGGGGGATGATGGAGAGAGATCGACTACATGCAGCTGCTCAGGGCGGTCTCGATCAGCATGAGCAGCCATCTTGGCCAACTGAGAGGCATCCGGAAGAGCCCCAAGCCGCCACCAGCACCACCACCACGCGCTCATACCTCTCACTGTCGACATTCACGCCCTCATCCTGTCTGCCCTCCCGTTCGCTCATCGGAAGGCCTGTGGCGGGTAGACGGTGCAGCGGATGGTGACGTCGTGGGGCAAGTGGATGATGCACAAGAGCAGAATGGACGGGGGACGAATTGGGCGAAGGGGGTAAGTAGACACACGTCGCCCACCACAACACGTCATGCACACACACCGTGAGCATCATGACCCTGTCGCCTGTCTGTCTGTCTGTCTGTCTGTTTTTGTCTCTGTCAGGGTTGTGATGTCGCTGCCCTCGTTGGTTTGGCGGCCGTGGCGGCGTCGGATCGGCAACCAACCATTCATCATGCCCGACGCCTTCAAGCGTACCGACACTCTGCAGCGTACAGCACCCCCACACTGACGGCCGAATAGACGCAACGCCACTCACTCACCAGGGTAGGTCTGCGACACGCACGGCATAGCACTAACATGAGACCGTCTCCCCCATTCACCGTCGGTTCGTGTTGCCCCTCACCCGCAGGTTCTCGTTTGCTCTCGCGTTGGGCCCGTGTGGTTCTGTCGCGCTTTGTTTTCTCGTTCGTTTTCGGCTGGCTGGCCTCACCATGAGCGGCAGTGTGTGGCTGTCCCGACCCCTGCGTGTGCCGCCACAACTGCATGAACTTGGGGATGCGCCGACCAGCCAACGTAACACCGCCACGACTTTCTTCTTGTTTGGGATGTCTGTCTGATTATGGATAGCCGTCGGTCGTCGATTTTTCCTCTCGTGGCAGGGAAACGTACGTGCTGTTTTTGTTGGCCAACCTGGATGTGTTTTTGTCGCCCTCTTCTTGTCCTTCGGTTCGTTCGGTTTGCGTATTGTATAGATGGAGGCGGGGGAAGGGCAGTGTCCGAGCCAACCCAACCCACGATGGGCGTAGAAAGGCCGTGTTGGCCGTATCCCGTCGGGGGAAGGCCGTTTTGGCCGTATCCCGTCCATCACCCGTGGATGGCTCAGGCGATGTGTGTGGTGTGGGAGGGAGGGAGGCGTAGTTTGACTAGACGATCGTCTCGCCCACCCGCACCGCACACACATGCCCTCCCTCTGGTCTGGTTGCCGAGCACCGCTGTTGTTTTCCTCACTTGCTATGTATTTCTTTCACACCGTCATTCGGTTTCACTTTTGCCACTAGGGAGGGGAGGGAGAGAATTCAGTCGTTTGCATTGGCCTGGTCGTGTGTGAAAGGCTGTCTGTCGGTCTGTCGGTCTGTCTGTCTGTCTGTCGGTCTGTAAACACTTTATCTTTGTCTCGTATTCATTTGCGGGTTATGTTTCTGTCGGTGGGGGTGGGGCATTCTTTTCCGAGTGAGTGATAGCGAGTGGAGTCGTCCGTCCGTCCGTCCATCTGTCGAGCATGACAGGTACACATACACGCACATCGACACGCCCACAAGGCTCGCTGATCATGATACATGATTGGTTGTCGGTCAGGTCAATCGAGGCTGCAGCTGTTGTGTCGATCAGCTCACTTCGGCCCCTCACATCGTGTCCATTCTGCAAGACTTCGGCAACCGCTGACGCTTCCAGCCAGTCGACTCGTCTATCTGCCACAGAGGAGAGGCTGCCGAAGCCGCCGGCGAGAGGTGGTTGAGGGGGCGTCATGCGTTTGTCAGGCCCGCGGGTTATCAGCAACAAGAACCAGTCCACTGAAGGAGAGCACGCCGCACCATAGCAACGGCATTAATCGGCAAGGCCGAGAGCTCGCTCGCCTGCCATCGATGCGAGTGGCGCTGTTCTGTTTGGATCGACCAGACAGACATCTGGCTGGCTGGCTGGCAGGGTTGGGCAGAGATGGATAGATTGTTGGGCGGTCGGCGGGATGAATGGATGGGTTTGCTCACAGCGCCTTCGTGTCTTATGTACCTACGCACAGTTGCTTGCCGTGAGACCACTGACTTGCCGTGTGTGTGCGCCGTGAGACCACTGACTTGCCGTGACCTATTTTTGGTGCATTCCCATGTGGTGACACTGACTGGTATGGCTCGCGGCGCCCTCCACACACACAGAGAGACACACACCTCTGCACGCACTGCGTAAGTGCACATACATACGTACATTTGTAGTACCTGAGTGATGCACAGGGGTCTGCCTGCTTGGCTGGCCGAGCACTGTGGCCATGTGGGTGCAGCTGTACTGGTAGATAGCTGTGATTGATCCATTTGCCACCTGCTGGTGGCAGAGTGGATGACTGGGTGCCGCACACGCACCTCCTTAACTTGATGGGCCCGCCAATTGATTTGACCATCTTGAGGCAGTACATACAAACGAAGACACACGTGGCCACGTGGGAGGATGATGAACTGCCCTCTGCAGTGAGTAATCCGTCAGCCAGTGCTCACGAACAGCAGCCCCGGGGCATCACATTGACAGACGGGCCACCTTGGCTGCTGCTCGGTTCTTGACGTGCACACGGGTATGAAGATCGACACACTGCAGCAGGTGAGGCAGCTACACAGAAGGATACGAGAGAGAAGTTGGGTACACGTAACGCGTGTATTGTGATTTCCTGTGACCTCCCTGGTTGCCTTTCAGCCTTCGAGTGCCACGTCGACTTGCACTGCCTGAGTGGAGGCCTGACTGACGGACGGATGGAAGAGGAGCAGAGCGGTGCGGTCCACGTGGACCTACTGACACGATTCGCTATCGTTTTCCAAATGGTCTTTGTTCAGTTCTCAATGCACGTCATTCGAAAGAAGTCGTCCATTCGCCATTGCAAAGAGGTCTCTTGAAGCAAATCACTCATTCACTCACTCATTCAATCATTCACTCACTCATTCATTCACTCATTCACTTCTTGAGTCTGTCTGAAGAAGGAGTCTGTTTCTCGAGAGAACGTGTTCAAGTGAGCTGGTCATTCATCAAAAACAATTCATCCAAAGCGAGCGGGTCTCACTGCGGCTGAATGCTTGACTTCTGACGAGTCCTATGGGCCCACAGAAGGGCTCCTTCGCCCTCTTTTGTCGACCTGCAAGCCGATCGATGCGAGCCTGAGAGAGTGGGCGAGAAGAACGAAACAATTCGCTTCCCAGGCCTCTTGGCGAGCCGAACGAGGACCTGCTAACCGAACGAGTCCGTCTGTCCATCGCTGCAGCCGCTTCCCGTGTGCAACTGACCCATCGGCGGCTATCCAACGTGTCGAGTGTTCACGGCCCTGCTGCTCAACAGATAATCGCGCCACGTAGCGGCTTCTCGTCCAACGGTGAGTGAATATGCGGCGATTGGATCACTCAAGCACACCGATGAGCTCTTTGCTGTCTGTGTGTCTTGATGGTCTTCAGGTCTGCCTTGTCGACGGGCGGACTGGTTGGTTATTTTTGAACGGCCTTGAGTGTGCTGCTGGCCGTCGACTCAGACTTTTGATAGGCAAGCACTGATGCACACAACACACACACCAGGTGCCTGCAGGCCCATCTCTGTGTGTGTGGTCTATGGTGCAGCTGTTGGTCTGTGTGTTTGAGTGGGTGAGAGCGATGTCATCGGAGCGTCCCGACACCGACATGGCCCCTGCTGGCCCGGCGGACGGTGGCGATGGCGATGAAGGTACGCTCAGCTCACACAAATGCACCACATTTAACGCTCAGCACCATCGCCGAGCATCGTGTGTGTGTGTGTCTGTGCGTTCCTCTGCAGAGCAACATGGCGGTGGTGACGTGCGGCGGCCAATGGATGTGGAGGAGCGCCAGGACGGCCGTGCGGGCGGTGGTTCCGTGAGCAATGTCGTCATGAGGCAGACGAACAACGCCTCAACGACAGAGCCCTCTCACATGCCATCGCCGGTACGCCAACGAACAAGAGCACCGCGATTGACAGACACCTTCACCCACTCTCCCCTACGTGTGTGTGTCATTCAGCTCACGGCCACGGTGGCGGGTGGGCCACAAGCAGCAGCAGCAGCAGCAGCAGGTAGTCAACAAAGGCACAGCAGCCAGCCTGACGCAGCACATCATCATGGTCTGGGTCGTGCGTTGGTGTGTATGTGTGTATGTGTGTGTGAAGGTGAAGGCGTTGTGAAGCGTGCCGGCTCTCCTCTGGACCGTGAGGAGCCTAAGAGGGCCAAGAGAGACGGCCAGACGCACCAATCTGCCGCCAACCTGGACGCTGCCAAGGAGGCGCCAGACAGCAGCAGCACTCAAACAGACAAGCCGTGGCGGATCAACGTGGGCGGCTTCACCATGGAGTTCCCTCGTGAAGTGCTGCTGCGAGATGGCCTCAAGGACACACGCCTGGCAATGTTGTTTCACCGCTTCGCTGAGTCGCTGCTCAAGGACACCGACGGCATCCCCTTCATCGACGCAAACCCGCACTACTTCATCTGGCAGGGCGGGAAGCAAACCCCATGTTGTTTGATTGACATTCATCCGCTGGCCGCGTGTTTGACTCTCTCCATCTGTGTGTGTCAGGTTGGATGTCAAGTTGGGTTTTCTCAAGGCGGGCTGGATCGACGACATCACGCTCTCCGACGACTGCCCCGCCAAGGCCTTCTACCACGACCTGTGCTTCGCCAAGACGACACTCAGCATGACGCCACAGGACGACCAGGGCAGTGAGGCCTTCCAGAACTTCATGGCGGTGATGGGCCGCTTCATCAAGTCATCGGCGGCCAGAGGGACGGGCGGCTATGAGGTGCTGAGTGCCGTTGTGCATGGCACGACTGTTTCCACGACGGACGCCACCCTGGACGACCACAGCACATTCGGCAGACGATTCACGAAGTCAGTTGGGGCAAATGAGGAGGAGGGGAACGGCGCAGTATGGACTTGTGGGTGTGTGTGTGTGTGTGCCTGTAGGTTTGCGGCACCCGTCACCGATGAGAGTGTGCCGACGACCACCTTCGAGAAGTAAGGCGACACATCACAGGCGGACAGAGGGCATCTGTGGGTGGCCTGGCCTGGTTTGGTTCTCACAGGGTCGTGGATTTCGTCCGCCGCCGTCGCCTGGCCCCCGACGCCGTCTTGGCCCTCCCCATCGCCGACGACTGGCCGCAGCTGCTGAGTGCCTTTGAGATGTACGACCTGATGGAGTGTGTGTACCTGACCATGATCGGCAAACCGCACAGCACCATACGCAGCCTCTTCAGGTGTGCAATCACAGCAGAGAGGCACACAACGGCCAACATCCCTTCCGTGTGCGTCTCTGTGTGTGTGCCAGGGATTCTGTGCACGGCGAATCGCACGAGCCTCTGCTCGACCGAGTGGCGGGCGGAGAAGGCGGCCGGCTGTTCGTCATCGAGCCCGAGTGCAAAGAGGGCCACCGCCACATCTTCGCGTGCCTCATCGACGGCCCCCTCATCGCGCCGTCCGACCCCACAGCAGAGGTGCTCACCAGGCGGCTCACCACCTTCTACTCCATCAGTGGGGCGTTCAAGGACCAAGAGGGCATCGTCAGCATCACGGTGCCGCACAACCAGCAGCGTGTGGACGTCGCTGGCACACAGGGGGTGGTCAAGGCCACCAACGGTGTTGGTGGCAGTGTGTGCATCGGTAGCAGCCGCCTGTGGCTGGGGAGTGGCGGCAATGTGGCCATCGGTCACGGCCGCCTGTGGCTGGGGCATGGAGGGAAGGAGGATGGTCGTCCGGCCGGCGACCTGCGTCGCTGCTGCCAGTGGGTGGAGAGGGACGACCTGCCCGCCGGCAAGACATACCGAGGCAGCTACACCAACGGACGGGCCACTCTGGCGGGCAGCCATTCCTTCACTGCCCAGCGGCTGGAGGTGTATGAGGTCAGTCAGACGTCAACGAAGGGGGGCTGAGTTGATGTGTCTATGATGGACCGTTGATGTCTGTCTGTCTGTGTGCAGGTGTTGACGACTCGTCCGGCCGAGCCCGTCCTGTCTGCTGCTCAGCTGCAGGAGCTCATCAACATGACGGGCAATGCCAATGCGACGCCGAAGCTGCTCTACAAGTGTGTGACCAGCCCACAGACAGAAGCAGTGGTGATGTCACTGATTCGCTCGCTCTCTCTCTCTCTGTGTGTGTGTGTGGCTGTGTGTCAGGGGTGCGTGCGACGGCTGGATGTACCCCGCCATGCTGGCCAAGGTGGGCACCGCCACCAATCTGCTGCTGGTCCTCAAGGACACCGGCGACCACGTCATCGCCTCCCACATCAACGGACAGCTCAAGCAGCCCGCCGACCCCACTCGTGTGCAGAAGACCAAGTGGCCCGTGGCCCTCTACTCGGTGTGTGGCGCATTCAGCGAGGCCGACGGCATCACACGCATCGCAGTGCCGGACGACGAGCAGTATGTGAATGTCGCCGGCCCACAGGGGGCGGTCAAGGGCGATGGCGCCAATGTGTCCGACGCCAATGTGTCCATCGGTGGCGGCCGCCTGTGGCTGGGGTGGGGGTGGCCGGATTGTCGTCCGGCCGGCGATCTGCGTCGCTGCTACCAGTGGTTGAAGAGGGACGAGCTGCCCGCCGGCGCGACATACAGAGGCAGCTACGACACCATCGACGGATGGGCCACCTTGGCTGCTGCTCCGACCTTCACGTGTGTGGACATGGAGGTCTACACACTGCAGCAGGTCAGACAGACAGACAGACAGAGAGAAGTTGGGTTCACGTAGACGATATTGTGATTTCCTGTGGTACTCCTGGTTGGCTGTCAGGCGTCGGCCGACAGTGGCTGAGTGAGTGATGCGAGATGAGCACTGCGGTGCGGTCAGTGGTGGACGTGCGGCGGTGTGTGTCATGGGCGGTGGAGGGAAAGGCAGCGGAGGGGAGGGGAGGACAGATCAGCCAGTTGTGTGTCTGTGTGTGGGTGTGAGGGCGACACAGTCCCTCTGCTATGGCCGATCCGCTCCTTTTTCCATCCTTCCTTGGTGTGTGTATATGTACACTCTGTCTTTATGTGTATCTGTTGCGTGACCGCATGTGATCGCATCCGATAATGACCGATTCCTTCCCGGCCACGTGTGTGTATACATGCTCTTTTTCATCGCCCTGTTGCATGTGCTCGGCTGTGGACTTACACGATTCGCTATCGTTCTGAGAATGGTCTCTGTTTGGTTCATTCGGAAGATGTCGTCCATTCGCCATTCATTCATTCATCACAATCCGTCCGCTCGTCACTTGTCCAGGTCTGCCTCCCACTGCTCCAGCCTGGCAGCCCCCTCCCCCCACCTCTGGCCTTCCTCACTCCCCTCCCCCGCTCCCTCGCGCCACGCACACACCTTCCTGCACAAACTCCGCACCAGCAGCCGCAGCGACCCGAGATCACCTGCAGGCGGGCCCTTCGGTGGCCGCCCGCCAGCCATCCCAGTCTCTGTCTTCGTCTTTTTCTCTTGGTCAATCTGCTGAGCAAGGCGGATCAGCGCCTCTGTTGATGTGAGCAGCTGATCGAGAAAGCCCCCTGTGCCGCCGGGCGATGGGGGCTGTGTTGATGTAGACGACTGCAGAGTGCGGCACTCCTTCATGCGGTAGCTGTAGGCCGTTGAGGGGTCGGCCAAGTGGTCCTCGTGTAGCTCGCCGAGGATGCGCCAGAGAGGGGCCTGGGCGGCTGGTGTGGCCGATATCCGCCCAGCCAGGTCGTCAAGGAAGCCCACATAGGTCTTGAGCAGCTGCCCGCTGCTGCCCTTGCCATCATCCGCCTCATCCCCTTTCACTCGGCTCGTGACGAGACCGGTCAGCCCCTTGACGAGATCGATCTTGCCGAGCTCCTCGAGCCGCCCGAGAGCCAGCAGCTGCCTCGCCCCCTCCACCGCCCCCCAGGCATCCTCACACCTCATGGCGATCAGCATCTTGTTGTCGGCAACTCGCCAGTTCTGAGGCGCCCGCTTGGCTGCCTCCTCGATCGCCAGCCGGGCCTCGCTCACGCTGCCCCGATTGAGGTGCACGCCGGCAAGGTTGGCCCACGCCTCGTGGCTCTCAGGGTCGATGGCGACGACGCGTGCGAAGGCCTCGAGCGCCTCGTCCCACCTCGCCAGCCGCATGCAGGCACAGCCCTTGGTGAACCATGCGTTGACGTGCAGGGGATTGAGCGCCAGGGCCTCGGTGAAGCACTCGACTGACCGGGGAAGGGATTCCGCACCCTGGCTGAAGAAATGCCGCCCCAGCGACCGCATGGCCCGGGCGTAATGGTGGTTGGAGAGACGCCACGCCTCTTCGTAGCACTGCGGGTCGCGCGTGACGTCGCCGAGACTGCACCAGAGGGGCGGGGTGGGCTTGGCCGCCAGCCGCTCACGCAGCAGCTTCTCGGCCTGCTGCTCACGGCCGGCAGCGATGAGGCACTCCAGGCCCTCCTCCCACATATGGAGGGACGCAAACCGCTCAAAGGCCGACAGCAAGGCACCAGTGCGACGCAGGTGGCGTGCGGCCTCCCGGTGGGCTTCCCATCGGCTGGGGTAGTCGACACAATGGACGAATGCCAGCCGATGGGATGGTGGGGGGGTCGGGTCGTCGTACTGGTCGATGAGGGCCTGCAGCTGGAGGCATGCGCGGTCCATGGTCTTGGTCCTGTGCAGCTCGGACCGGCTGCGGAAGTAGAGGCCGGCAGAGTACACCAGCCAGTTGGCCGACAGCTGAGAGCCTTCCTGTCCACTAGGGGGGGCAGAGGGGAGCACCAGACACCTGAAGAAACGAAAGCAAGACATCAGCTGGCTCACTGACTCCCCACACCCATCCCTGTTTTGCCCACCGTTGCACAAGGGCGTTGAGCTCCTCGGCCGCCAGCTCGTCACCCACAGGGGCGCTCTCCAGGATGGAAGCACACCTTGTGAGCAGCAGCGCCTGCTCGAGAGCGGTCAGAGGCCTCTCGATTGACCCATTCTCCCCGCCTTCCCCCGCTAGCAGCCGCGGCCGCTCCAGGATGTCCGTATCGGGGTCCAATTCGGTGAGCTTCACGTCCTGCACCTCGCCAGCCTCTTGCCCTTGAGACGACCTGGCTCCATTGTCGGCTGCTTGGCTCTTGGTGAGGACCACCAGCTGCGGCAGTGCGTTGGTCTGATACTGTCGCCTGATGCCCCTCGCACCCGTGATGCTGAACTCGAAACCGGCAATCGAACATGCGCGGGAGGCGGCGCGGGTGTATGGCTTGGTGCGCCCGTAGAAGGCCAGTCGGAGTGCCAGCTCGAGGACGAGGGCTGCCTGTGCCTCGCGAGATAGGGGCAGGTCAGAGGCGACCTGAGGAGCGGATGTATCATCTGAAAGGCACCCACCATACGAACACGAACAGCTGTGAGAGAAGGAAGCACTCCATCCGTGTGCCATGCACTCTTGTACCTTGATCGATAGCATCCATCTTGACCGAGAAAGACTCGGTGAGAAGCCCCAGTCGCTTCAGTGCTTCACTCCCATCTTCAAGACACCTCTTGACCAGTGTGGGTGCAGGCGACCTCGCCCCGCCCAGCAGGCTCCTCTGCCACACAAACGCCAGCCGCCCGCTCCACACCGCATGGGACGCCATGTCAGCGACACACGGCACGTCCAGCAGCTCCCGCGCCGCCCACAGGTAGGGCACTCCAAGGGCGCGCTCGTAGATGAGTTCGCCGTCGACAGCCATGTCGTCCACCAGGGCCCTGAGGGAGAACGGTGTGTCGATGGCGGGGAGTGCAGGATCTCCCAGCACGCACACGTCGGCGAACCGCTGAGGGGGTGGGCCGTCGATGAATGGCCGCTGCTTGGCCTCGTTGAGCCGCTCGCTGTCACGCTGAGGGGCTTCTGGCGGGCCTGTCCAGCTGCTCTGGAGAAACACCGACAGCATCAGATGAGCGCATCCCAGCACCGCAACTTTTCTGGCGTCCCTCTCGTCATCCGCTGCGCACTCCTCGCCTCGAATGAAGGTCTCGCAGTCGCTGCGGATGCTTGCTCGCAGCTGTGATGGGGAGGGGATGGCAGATCTGTCGTCAGGGGGGCTCCGGTGAAGGCTCCTGAGGATCTGGTGGGCCAGTGGGGCTGTGAAGGCGTCCAGCAGGCGGCCGCCGTGGCTGACGAGGTGCATGAGCTCATGGAGTTGCGAGATCGTTGGGCATGCGGGGGTGGCAGTGGCTGTACTGGCCTCCCAGACAGCCTGCGGCTCCAGCAGCTTCGCTTCGAGAGACTTCATCCTTAATCGCCTCTGCGAGCTCAAAATCGTCTGCAAGCTAAGCCCCACTCGTCCTTGCAGACGGTTTTGGTTCCTGCATGTCCGCTGAGCCAACTAACCGGTAGTTGGTTCCTGCATGTGCTGACGAGTCCCCTGGTCCAGCTGCTCAGTGGATAGTCAGTTATGGCATCCCCCTCTGACTCAGCAGCAGCGGCATCAGGTGCGGCAGGAATGGCAGGGGCCGGTGAGCCCGACGAGTCCCTGTCGACGTGTGAGGTCTGCCTGACGGAATACGACACCACAAGACGAGTACCGCAGATACTTTCCCGATGCGGTAAGAGGGACGGGCCCGGAGGAAGGAGGCTCTAAGAATATGCTGCGTGTCCATCTCTGCAGGTCACACGTTCTGTTCCGACGTGAGCCACCATGATGCATGCAGTGCACGCGATACGACGACATGCATCAACAAAGGGCCCATCGGCATCCTTTCTTCTTTGCTTGCTCTTCAGTGCATTGGCCACATGCAGAAACTCCAGCCAGAAGTCACATGTCCCAGCTGCAGGTTGGTGGGGCGGCACCGTCAGGCAGGAGGGAGCGCGAAGTAATTGCAGAGAAATACACCCATTGGATGTCATGTGCTCACCAATCAGGATCGTGACTCCTGCCCATGAAGTGCGTCGAAACTTTGCATTGTGCCAGGTGGTCGAGCTCGCCCATGTAGGCCTGGGCGGGCGGCAAGAGGCCAAACAGTGCAAGAGAGACGACATCCCCGTCAACGCGTTTGGCGGTGAGGCAGGAGACAAGGGGGAGAGAGGGAGACAGGCCAACAAAGGGCGTCACTCATCGCTTTTGTGCTGTGTAGATGAGTGTGACGAGTGCGTGTGTCCCTCCTGCTACATCACGCCTGACGCCCCGTGCTATGCCCACAAGCGATCGCACATCAAGGATGCCGTCATGGAGAAACTAGAAGTCGCTAAGCGGACCAACGAGGTGAGTGATGGAGCATAGGCATGTTGTCTCCTGATTGTCTTCCTTCGTGTGTGTGTCAGCTTCTCCAGAGCAGCAGGACGGCGCTTCTTGAGAGAGGCACCCGCAGCGAAAAGGCCCAGGAGGTGAGCAAATCGCAACGACACCAATACGGAAATGGGGTACGATTTATGGTGTGTCTCTGTGTGCAGCACTACCGGCGGTGTTTCAGCAACGCCGAAGACGAGGTCCGTTCGCAATTCACGTGAGCAACCGGAAAGAAAGACAGGTCGACTTCCACGGATGCCAGCCAAGCTTACTCTGCGTGGTGTGTGTATGTCTCAGCCGTACTGAAGATCGCATCGTGCAGAAGATCAGAGAGGAGAGGGTAAGCAAGCAGGGGAGAGAATGAACCGCCTTGCGACTAAATGGTCTCAACAGATTGCTTGCTATGGTGTGGTGTGTCAATGTATGTCAGCAACGGGCCCTCCGCACTTTGCAAGATGAGTACCAGAAGGGCGTCTCAGCGTTCGAGCAGAGACGACATGAGTCAGCCAAACTTCAGAAGAACATCGACAACGCCCTCGCAAAGATACAAACCCTCCTCGGCGACGCAGGTGCGTACCACCAGCACTTCAACAAGCCCTCAGCCCAACGTTGTCTTGACTTGATTTCCCTTCACACCAGCCCGACGCGTTTTGGGATCTGAGTCGAGCAGCAAGGCAGCTGCTGCCCACAATATCAGCACGGCCGAGGTGGATCTTCTGGAGGCGCTCACGCAGATAGAGGCCGACATCATCGGCGAGATTGACGGTTCTACGACAATCGCACCCGGCAGCGACAATCGCACGCTACAGCAGCTGCAGAATGGCGTTGGCACCCAGCTGCGGCCGGTGACTGATCCAGCCCCGGGGACTGGCGGGCAGGCCACTGGTCAGGGAAGCAGCAACTTGATCCAGCGGATGGCAGCGCGGCTGACAGACGCAACGCCGCCCTCCTATGCGTAAGCCCATTGACCACCGGGACGAATCGACGAGCGTGGTGGTGGTTGATGGCGTGGGCGGGCGGGTGTGTTGTATTGGTTGTGCAGCATGTCTGTCCCTCGTGTATCCCCTGTTCGTCGAGACCTGGACAGGGTGCTGGGCAGGATTGTGGACATCACTTTCACAGATACCAACTGCAGCGGTAAGCTGACTACCAACATAGAGACAAATCAAATGCAATCAGGGTGTCGGGACGCGTGTGTTAAGAGGGCGACACCGGCAGGAACTTGGGCAATGGACGGAGCGAGCAGGAGCGGAGCTCGACCGAGACAGAGGTGCGCATGCCTCACACACACACACACACACACACACGCCGTGCGTCATGCGGCCCCTCTTGCGTTGTGGGTGTGTGCAGGGCACACATGGCCGCCGGCAGCGCGCAGCGGTCCGTCCAATGGGTGTATACGTGCCGCCCACGAACAGAGGCACGCCATCGAACACCACCAACACAGAGGTGCGCGTGCCATACACACACACACACACACACAGGAGAGATCCATCACGTCGCGCATTGGGTTCGGGGGGTGGTTGTGGGTGGTTGTGCAGATGACGTCTCAGCGCACCAACGGGCAGCCGACCAACAACGTGGAGCCGCCATCCCGAAACCGAGACCGCGAAGGAGCGTCACATGGTGTTTTCGCTTATGCAGCCAATCCGGTTTCCGATCGCGAAGGCACAACAGCGGAGCAACCCAACACAAAGACGCCAAAGTTTCAGGTACGCATTGCCGGCAGAAGACCATCTTCGCCTCATCACTTGTGCGCACGTCATCCCTGTGCGTGACGGGCGATTGTGTGTGTGTCTCTGCCCTGCAGACTCACGAGGAGGAGCGCGCACACTGGAACGCGCAGCGGGCCGCACACCAGGGGTATGTTGCGTGCGCGTTGTGGCATTGCCCGCTTTTCTCACACCTGTGTGTGTGCGCCTTCTCAGGATTGGCGCGTTCGAGCACTTGGATATGCGCTTCCGTTTCAGAGAGAGCGGCGGAGGCGGCGTCGTGTACAAGAAGGTATGTGCTCTGCTTTCATCAACCCGTCACTGACAGACAGAGGTTCTTTCTTCCTCCTGTGTGTTCGACCGACAGGGGCCCCAGTGGCAGAATCGCTCAAGGGGCCGACACTGAGAGCCGTTGGGTGTGTCATGTGTGCTGCGTGGCGGGTGACTCCGGTGCTGTATGAACGATGTACATACATATTGGCGTGTTTCTTGTACACACACTGATGTCAGAGGGGCCCCAACCACGGGTGGGGTGTGATGTGGGATCGATCCCTGTCTGTCAGCACAACTGCATGAGTGGCTGTCTGGAGTCGGTTCGTGGAGGCTGGCATGACTGTTTCCCGGACGTGCGTACGAGATGAAGAGACAAGTGGCTCATGGACATTCTTATGCCCTTGAACGTTCTGCCAAGTCAGTCGTGCGATAGGTAACCCCACAAGGACAACAAGGATGCGTACAGGCTCAGAATGCATTCAGCCTTTGACCACCTGCGTCCACCCGCCCATCCCTCCCATGACCACCCTCCTCATGGCGGGTAAATCCATCGGTCCGCCCACCCGCCTGCTGTCGTCACGCCGACTCCCGTCGCCTATCGCCGGGCTCTGCCTCGTCCACGTGCTATGGTGGGCCGACGGGGCTGACACGGGACGCGCAGGGTCGGGCACGGTGGCGTCGTGCGGCTGACTATCCTCCGCCTCGCGCTCTCGTTTCCTGACCAGGGGAGGGGGGAAGAGAATCCTGGCCAGGTGCCTTGTGCGCGGAGGACGAATCAGCTCCCTGACACAACACACAGGGACGAAGGGCTTTTACGTAACAAACCCCTAGACATAAGATGTGTCCCTCGTCAGTCACCTTGCAGTGCCGCATTCCTTGATGCCCAGGTGCTCGAGGAGCCGCTCGGATCCCTTCTCGTCATCTCCCTGGCCCCGCCACGTGAATGGCCCGGGAATGATGGCCGTTATCGCGTTGCTCTCGTCGTCTCGATTTAGCTGAAGAAACACGCAGCCAGCAAACACGACTGAGCGACAGACGTATGGCAATGCAAACATTTTAACATACCCCGACAGATCGAGCAGTTGATGGCCTCGACTGCCTTGACAGGGGAGGCGCAGAAGGCAGAAAGGCTGGCGAGATTCCAACATCCTCATCTTCCTCCTTTCTTCTCAGCAACGGCGACCCAGGCCGCGACAAACACACGGGTGTCCCAGGAGGTGAGCACGAGGGACTCTCACGCAGACTGGCATGTGGCCCTCTCGCCCGCCTCGCGAAGAAGAAGGCAGCAATGGGACTGACTGGTCGGTGTCTCAGCGTCCTGTGAGGGCTTGCAGAGCGCTGCATAGGCGGAGATGAGCGGGGAGATCCCTTTTTGGCGGGCGTGCTCTGTGGCGGGACAGGCGATGAAGGCGGCTGGGAGGGAGGGCTGGGGGAGGAGGGAGATGTGGCAGGGACGGTGGACTGGAGGGTGATGGGGCGTGTAAGGCCCCGAGACAAGTTCGGATGGGGAAAGAGGCCCATCTCTGTCTTCTCTTCTCTCCCACCCGCCGGATCTCGGATGTCTGCGATGCCCGAGGGACGCCTTAAGAGGATGGGCGATCTCTCAGAGCCAGACCCAAACGAGCCGCTGGTGATGTGTCCTTTCACCATCCGTCTGTGCCGGAAAGACATGTGCTTGGGCCGCGGAGAGACACGGGGTGATGACGAGGGAGATGCGGCCTTCAGCAAAGTGGCGTCGAAGGGCATTGTGAGATCCACCTGAGGGGCGGGTGCCGCCTGTCTGAAAGACCCGGGCCACTCAAACTTGCGAGGCGACACGTTGACGGAGGCCCGGCGTGTCTCCAGCTCTCTTCGTCTTTTCGTCAGCGCCTCGCCAGCTCGTTCACCCCCTTTGCCCCTGCCTTCAGGCCGTGGGCGCGCCGATCGGGCTGATAGTCGTATTCTGATGGGCGTCGATCGGTCAGAGGGAGACACGAGGCGTGATGAGCCCCTGGGTCCCCTCTCCTGGCCCGCTGTTACAGGCCGAGGGCCAGGACCTTCCCAGCTGCAGAAAGGACATATGTGGCAGTCGTAGGATTCGATTGTGTTGCATGTGATTGTGTTGTCCATACCTTGAGACGGCATCCTTGAGCATCAGCACTTCATCATCGTCGTCGGCGGCGTCCGGCAACAGCCTCTCCCGTGGAAGGCTGGCTGTTGGTCTCTCGCCGGCCAAGGCAGTGCGTGGTCTTGACGGCAGCCTGATCTCGGTGTCGGCTTTCGGTGTGGTCCGATGTGCGTCCTTGGTCACCTTGACGATCATTGTGCGTCCCTGTTCGCAAGGAAATGGGGACACATCACGAAAACGAACAAAATGATGGCCTGATCTTTTTCTTGTACGAATGCGTGAAAGGTCTTGATGTCCTCCGGGTCCTGCTGCTCCTGCTGCAACTGGTCAAAAATTGGATGTCCTCCGGCAACTGGTGCGAGAGAACGCGCAATGCAGAACGGACGAACGGCAAATTGAATGAAGTCGGCAATTACCGCTGTAGTCGAGGATATCAGGAAGCCTTTTCCTCTTCTTCACTTTGCGTGAGATGTTCTCGTGTAGCCTTCAGGACAGACAGCACAAGACCACTTCGTCTGCCTGTGCGTGTGTGTGTCTCTCGTCTTTCCTTCGCCCTCACCTTGACAGCGTCTCAGCATCTTTATTGTCTTCGCTCGGGTTGCTGTCCGAACCCTCGTCATCTGGCTCTATGAATGCCTGTGATGCCCGAGACATCAGGCGAGACAGCCGATGTTTTGGCGCGACGCCCTCCAACTCGGCTGCAACTTGGGCCTGGAAGTCACGACGCAGCTGAAGGGCAGAAAATGACGGACACCATAGAGCAGAAGGTCAGAGCCCATCGGCCTTCTGACCTGGTAAAGATTCGCGTCGGCCATGTGGCCGTAGGCAAGAAAGGGGAAGTAGTGCTCTGAGCCATCAAAGTTCTCATGTATATCGAACGCGTCCCACGTTGAGAAGAGCGTGGGCAGATGCGATGGCACGGCGGCACGCGCAAGCGACTGGTCGTGCAATGCAGGCGCCGGAGCAGAGAAATGCTCCGTCGTGGCCCGATGAAGGAGCACCTTCTTGACCAGATGTTGGAACTGTTTCTCTTCGTTCTGAAGCTTCCGCGCGTCCTCAATAGCGTTTTGCATGCGCTGTGCTTCGGGGAAGTAGCCCTTTATCTTGGCCAGTGCACGTGCGACGAGGGGGCCCACGCACTGGAGACGACCGGGTGTCAACTCGTATTGCAGAGAGCTGGCATTACCTTGGCGTTCGGATGAGGGCGCGACCCACTGAGGCAGAGTAACACACATCGGCCAAGCAAGCGCAGGAAAGTGATCGCATGTCGGCTTCCCCCGCATGTCTCGTACCTCCTGCTCTTGTTCAGGGTGGTTGCTGACCCACTGCAAGCTCTCAATCTTGAGGTCGATGTTCTGCGCTGGATTGAGAGCGCCATACCGACTGGCCCCCCTCGCAAACTGATGCCGAGCGCCCTCGGGGCCCCTCACAGGAGCTTCCACTTGATGATCCGCTCCTTCGGCTGCTGCAGCAGTTGCAGAAATGAGGGCCTGGATGTCCTGGAAGTGTGCATGTTTCTGCGCCGGCATGGTCATGGTCGCTCCCTCCCTCCTGGGTGGGGGGTCGATCACATTGGGCAGCATGCCTCCCTGCAGCCGCGTCCACCCCCGCTCTCTCGCTTCGATCTCGAAAGGCGTCAGAGCATGCACCGCAGCGGCCTTCATGGCCTTCTCTGTCTGAGTGCGAGGCTGCCTGTTTTCCAGTTCTCTGCGGAGTCTGCGTTCGTACTTGAGGCACAGGTCGCTCCACGCTGGCTTAGGCGGGAGGGGCACGCGCTGTAGACGAAAGGAAACCGACACAAAGATACCATTCAGTGCATTTCAGGTGGCACTTACCCTGTCAGCGGTCCAGCAGGAGGCCTCGATGGCGTAGCAGAACTTACAGCGAAACTCCTTGAAGATGACACAGCGGGCTGTACCGAGCTTGCTGGGCGGCATGCCAAATTTGCAGCCAGTCCAGACAAGATCAAATCTGGAGACACATGAGCCCTTTCCACTTCGTGTCTCCTCCCGTGTCTGTGCTCTGGCGTACCCTCCGAGGCAGCACAGTCTCGCCAGCAGCCTGATCTCCACGTTGTCAGCAACCGGGTTGCTCCCAGGCAAGCCGAACAGGCTGAGAGGCTCCTCGGCCATTCGTGCACTGGGGCTGCCTGGGCGCGACGGAGGCTTGTATCTGCACCCGTAAAGGAAGATGCCTTTGCGCTTCGAATGGCCGTGGAAGTCGAAGAAAGCGAGAATTTCCCTCCCCTGCAGAGAAGGGCGGATCATCAAAGGAATCAATCATTCTTCTCTGGCTCTATATGAGTGCTTACTTGATCATGAAGCTGCCTGAGCAGTTTTTTCAGGTGGAAAACCGACGGGTGAAGGAACTCCTTCGGCGATGCAAAAACCCGATTCAGATCGACACCTGATGCACGCATAAAGCAGCCGTCTTGGCGCCTGGCTGTGAAGGGGCATGCGGCTTTGTCACCATTACCGGCAAGTGAGCAGCGATAGTTGCCATAGATGACACCGTCCGGATTCATCATTGGGACGACAACAAAATGGTAGGCACGACGCAACAAGATCGCATGCGGCGAATCTCCAACCAAAAACCGAATAAAACCTGTATAGTACACACAACAACACACCAGCCCAAAGCAGGCGGCCTGAGTTTTCCCTCTTTCTTCCTTTGTCCATTTTCACTTGCATCCCACCATGAATCATCCAGCTGCCCTGGGGCTCCCCAGGGTGCAGTCGTGCGATCAAAACGACAACCGGCTTCCTAGACCTCAGCAGCCTGAGCTCTGGAGGAGCTGGCTCTGGAGAGGACGAGCCTTCACGCTTGCCCCTGCCCTTGTCAGGCGGAACAGACTTGGATAGAGGCCTTTCACTCATCGCCGACAGCGGCCTGTGTGGAAGACCGATCATCGGCCGGCCCACTCAAACAAACGATTGTACGTTCCTGTCGTGTCACGCTTCTTGCCTGCTTGTGTTTGGCGTGCTGCCTCGGGGATGTGCCGGCTCTGTGCAGGGTGTTGGGGGGGCTGACGCCATCTCGTGGACCTCCAACATATCGACACGCAAACCTGTATGCACGCAAATCAATGCAAAAACGATGTCAATGCTTTCCATCACAGATCCGTCGATCACACCTGCGATTGACTGGCAAAGCGTGTGGCGCCTGAGCAGCGCCGCAGAATGTGGGTTTTCCTCCAGGGCGTCGAGGAAGTCCTGCACATGGAGAGATAGACGGACGGGCTTGGGCATTTGTGTCTCTCCTCCACCTGCAGGAGCGAGTATGTGTACGGGTAGTGGTACGCGAAGAAGACGGTGTCGTCTTCGTGTTCCCAGTCATATTCAAAACTCAGTACTGAAAAGTAACCGCGATCGTTCGGACGGAGAAGCGTGCCCTGTGGCAGATACGACAATGCGGGACATGACTGATAGGAAAGAGAGACGAGGGGACAAACCCTCACGCGTGAGTATCTGATGTTTCTTCCAGCTCTCTCCCATCCTCGTCCTGCTTTGGTGCTCCAAGACACGGGACGCATGCCCTGAAGAAACAGTTGCCTTTATGCTGCAAGTCAGACTGATGCCCCAAAACAAATCCTACTTGAGAGTAGAGCGAATTTGGCTTGGCACAGTTCTCGATCTGGAAGGTATAGGTGACGCCCTTCGTCCCACCGGCCACACACCAGTAGAACCTGCATGGACAGCAGCGAAGTCGGTTGTCCAATGAGGATGACAAAAGGTGTGGGTGTGTATCTACCATTGCGTGTGTCCGATACTGTTCGTATCCGGCTCGAGCAGCAGCTTGTACACATGAGCAGACACAGCCGTCGCTATCAACAGATTGCCGTTCTCAAACGCAGCCGAGAAACACAGACTGCCTGCAGACAAGGGGGGTCACCAATTAATTTCATTTCACTGTGCCGCCGCTGCCTTACTCACCTGCTCTCCCCTGTCCACTCGGCTGGCCAACCACGCCTTCTTGCGCTGCTGGAGGGCACCACGGGGAGGGGTGGAGCGGCTTCAAGTAGAGCTTGTTGGGGTTGGGTGGATACTGGGTCATGTTCAACAACGGAGGCTTCTCTTTGGTTGAAGGGGTCTTGTGCTGATGGTGGATGGACAAATTCACAATGGCCCTGATGGCGGACTGCCATCGATGGTATTCGTCGACGTGGTGACTGGCAGGAGAGAAGAAGGAAAACGACAAAAGTGGGTCTGTGTTGACTGATTACCGGTCATAGACGATTTGCCTTCGTGATTCCTCCCATGCAGCCAAGTAGACGGCAATTTCTCCCTTTACACTGCGAAAAGAGCCATCAATATCACATGATGCAGTCATCCATAATGCCATGCATTCACCTGTCAAGAAAGGCTTTGCCACTGAGTCCCTTGTCCTTCCTCCAATTCGCCACATCCTCTTCCTCCCCCTCATCTTCTTCTTCCCAGCCCTCGTTGTCGCTTCCCTCGCTCCATCTCTCGTACTCAGCATCCCCCTCAACCCCATCAGCAACTTTGGCAAGCGAAACCGGCTCCGCCACAGGATGCGGGTGTCTGTCACGAAGCTCGGCCTCTTCAGGAAGGGACCTGCCGAATGGTATGATGGGGCTGTCGTTCGATGAGTCCTCCATGCAGGATAGAGGCTGGGATTCTGAGGCCGTCTCGAGCATTCGGCCCCCACTTACCCCCACGCGCGCAGACGCATCGCAGATGCCGCATGCACTGGACCATGCGGGCGTCCTCTGTTTCCCTTCCTCGGCCAAGATCATATTCCGCAGATGCGTCCCAGGACCCAAGATCATATTCCGCAGATGCGTCCCAGGACGCGTCTCTTGTTCTGTAGCTGCGCGTTGAATGTGCAAGACGATTCCATCCCCGATGCCGCTTTACCTTATTCTTGCTTGGGTCAGCCTCATTTCGTCTGCAACAGAAGCCTCAGCCTCCGCTGCAGTCTTCCACTGCAAAGTGGGTCTCCTCTGCACGCTCCGCCTGCAGGAATCCCATTCAACGGGTAACTGTCAGTGCACGTGAGTCCGCAATGCCATTGTGTTCTTCTGCTGTGACTTTTGCTTGCAGGCGCTGAAGTCGTGAATGAGATTGTGCTTTCATCCTCTCCTTGTGAGAACCTCCTGGCGGTGACTACCGAGCTTCTCGGCATCACGGCAATTCGCGGCGATAATGGAGGACAATTCCGGCTCGGCGAGCCCCGCTCTACCGGACGATTCGAGCTTTGCTGGTACGCAATACCCATTGCCCGCTCACTCACCATTCTTGAGATCATGTCACCAGGTGTGGCGGCTTTGGCAAGAACGGGTGCGGCTCCAGCGCTGGCAAATTGATAGTAACAAATGAGCCGCGGCGTCTGCAGGGGACGCCAATGTCACACGAAGGCGAAGGCGAAGGAGAAGGGATTATCAAGATGCCTCACGAACACCAAACAGGGCCACCTGTGCCGCTGACTTTCGAGGGGAGTGAGGGCCATCACTATTTGCCGTCAGTCTATCATCCGTTCGAGCATGAGCATATGATTGGCCCGCCGCTGCCGTTCGAGGGCTCTGAACATGAGCATCCCCCGCCAGGCTATCATCCGTTCGAGCATGAGCATATGATTGGCCCGCCGCTGCCGTTCGAGGGCTCTGAACAAGAGCTGCAAGGAATGCCCCCAGCGCCTCACTACCACTTCGAGGGTGAACAAGAGCAATGGCTCTACCCCCAGCGCCTCACTACCACTTCGAGGGTGAACAAGAGCTGCAAGGAATGCTTCCACCCCCAGCGCCTCACCACTTCAATCCTCCTGCTGCACCCGTCTTTGAATATGAAGCAGAAGTCTCACTCTCATTTCACACGATCTTCCTTGAGACAGAGGGAGAATCTGAGAAGTGGCGACAGCTGCTTGAGGGCGAAGGGGAAAGCGAAGTAAACAGCACCACACCCACAGCAGCACTCCATGACACACCAGGTGGGCCCCATAACGACACTTCTGTGAGGTTTGTCAAAGCAATCCCCTGCTGTTTACAGTCACGGCTGCAATGGTCTTTGCGGGAGTCTATGAAGACATTGTTGGGGTCAGAGCTCATGAAAGGTCGTCTACCAATGTGAACTTCTCTCTTATACCTGCAGAATGACAGTGAAGCTTTCGCAGAAAATTTCACAACAGCAGTCGCGATGGCGTTGTCTGTTGATGAGGTATGGTCGCCGTGGAACTGGCAGTTCTTTGTGCTTACCCTGCCTTTAATCTCTGTGGTGCAGAGCCGAATTAATGTGAGTTCGATCCAAAACAGCAGCGTCATGGTGATCTTCACGGTAAGGAGACATGAGGAGGGAGCGAGTCGAAGAAAATGGCTTGTCATTTAGATTGCTGCAGCAAACTCATCGAATGAGGCACCTGCTTGGACACTTGTGCATGAGTTAGAGGTACAGAAGCAGCATAGTGAAGACACGTCGGTATTCTTTAGCTTTTTGCCAGAGTCAAATCGCTAACCCATCCTCGTCGTTCCGTACTGGGAGCTTTGGTAGGAGATAAAAAGCGAGTGTGTACCTGCAATGGTATCCTTCGACTCTCTTCTGCAGGAGTGCTTGCCGCTACGGCGTCGATCCAAGCTGGTACAGCTGCACATGTTTTGCGTCTTTGTGTGCATCTCTGTGCCCCGTGTGGTCAGGCTCCTTCCCTTACGGCAACGCGATAACTGCTTGTGTCGCCGGCATGGCGTGCAATATTCATCTGTCCGGCATCAGTAAGTGCCATTGATATTGACAGAAACGTTGACTGACTTTGTTTACCACTGCGAGATGTTCTTGTTTTCCCTATAGACCTGAACAATAACGACACAGTCATCGTCTCTTCTACACCTTGCCACTCCGTGACGCCCATCGCTCAGTCCCTCTTCAAAAACGCAAGCTTTGCATCTCCATTAATCGGGACCAACGGGACGTCGTATCAGCTTGGACTGCCCCACTTCGGCGGGTCATACAAAGTCTGCTGGTATGGATAAGAGGGAACACGAAAAGGCCTGCGTTTCTCGGTCATGCCTTTTCAGGCGCTTGCGTATTTGCTAGGTGCGGAGGCTCTGTCACGGGCCGCTGCAATGCCACTGAGACGGACAAATACAACCTCACTGTGGGCGATCTTCTAGTGAAGGGTAGAAAAGAAAGAGTGTCTGCACTCCCTGGAAAGAAGAGCTCTTTCGATCAGGGCCGAGCTCTACTCCTGCAGCAATCACTTGTGTCTCGGGTGCACCTAATGACTTCCTGCTGCCTGGTGTGGCTTTGGGCAACGACGCAATCTATCTCGTGGACAACACGCAGCAGTGCGGTGAATTGATTGCCCCACCGCTTGACAATACCAAAGTGACGGGTGTGCAAACGGATAATGGCTCTGTCTACTCCCTCAACATGATGCTTCCCGGTGGCCTGTACAAGATCTGCTGGTCAGTTGTTCACTCTTGCAAAGCTTGAAAGGTCTTGATCTCCTTCTGTTTATTTGTGGTCTGCAGGTGTCCTACAGAGGCCGGATGTTCGTCCATCAGCGATTATGCAGTGAACGCAGGAGTCGTGGACATTGCAGGACCTCACTCGATATGCAGAAACTCGTCATGCAACGTAATCACGTGTCCTAACGGCACACATTGCAGCTACCCGTCTTTCGCGGGCAGAGGCCTGCTGCCGTGACAGGCTCGCCGTCCTCGATCACTGTGGAGGGGGCAGCAAAGTCGCAGCTGGGGTAGAGTACAATCCATCCAACAACTCTGCCACTGGCGTCGGCACTTTCTCATTTGGCTCTCTCCTGTCAAGAGTGGGCTATTTTCCAGTATGCTGGTGTGGAACCAACTGTAGCGAGCCATCAGCATTTCGTCTGCAAATCGGACAGCTTCACATTACAGGTACGGTGAAGCGACAGAACCATCAGAAGACGTATTCGCTTTTCAATTACATGCAGGACCGAATACGACGGAACACAAAGAGCTGTGTGCACGAGGCAGCAAGTGCACGATCGAGAGTGTGTATGCCGAGGGCTTGTCCAATGACTATAGGGTCGCGTCCTCAATTCATCATGCTCGTCCCCCTCTGCCATGTTCCTGGCTGACTTCGGGAACAACCCCGCGCAGCACGGCACAGCGGCCACACCGACCAATTCCACCGCACTCTGGAGATATTCCTTCAATCTCAATTACACTATGTCGACCCCAGGAGACTACCCGTTATGTTTTTGCGGCAAGGGAGGTCTGTGTCTCTCGGCAAGCGACTTTCGAGTAGCTCTGGGGAGTGTCACTGTGCGAGGTGAGTCAGCCCTTCTCTTGCGGTATGTAACCACTTGATGCGTTTCTCATAGGCCCTGAGAATTGGTCGTTAAACACCACGTGTGGCTTCGGATCACCTTGCAGAGTGTCTCTGCCCACCCATTCCACGCTTCAGCCGACAACTCATGATCGTCTGGCCATCCTTGAGAGCTGCGGCACGACCGATGCGAATTTCCTGGGCGGTATTGATCACAATCCAGCCAATTGGACGAGCAACTCGTCAAGTACATTTGACTTTGCAACAATGAATCTGCCGGGGCAGGAAGGGCTGCTATTATGTTATTGCAGCAGTGGGGCTCTCTGCAACAGGCCGAGCGATTTTCGTGTCACAGTCGGAAGCCTCGATGTGCCGGGGCCCACTCTTTCATCCTCGAAGAAATATGCGGTCACATGTCGCACGGGATCGGCATGCAGCTTCAACTTCACTGGCCATAATGTGACATCCAGCGACTCCATTATCGTTAGGGAATATTGCGAGCCTGGAGGCTTAACACCTGCCGAGGGCTTCTCTATTGTTAGCATCACTTCGCAAAGTGACGTCCCTACTCCGAATATGTACACCGCGTACCTCGGTCATGTTACGGCGGCCGGCGGCGTATATGAGCTGAGAAAGGCCCGCTTGTGTGTGAGACATGATTTCACCTTCGTCGATTCTCCATCATTTCCTGCGTTTGGTGCGTGCGGACATGGCATACAGCTATGCTTCTGTTCGGCAGCTATGAATTGTTCCAATCCGTCAAGCTTTGCGTCCGATTGGGGGTTTCTCACGATCCAAGGCATGGAGACAAAAGCCGTCAAGCTCTCTAATCCAGACGCGTTTTCACTTCTTTGTCTGTCGCAGGCCCCAATCAAACCAGCGCTGAGTGTTACATCGGCCGCAACTGCTCTGTGAATGTGACTGGATACGCCCTCGATTCCGCCGATAGGCTCATGGTCCTGGAGACCTGTGGGCAGACAAGCAACATTCCAATGGAGAGCAACCCAGTCAGTGCACAGCAGCTCATCAACCTGAATGAGACATTCAGCTACTCATTCGGACAAACTATGGCGCCGGGGGGATTGGGGGCGAGACTGTGCTGGTATGGACCCATGAATCGAAGGGACAGGTACCGAAATGCATTGTTGTGTGCAGGTGTGCTGGAGGGAGCGATTCGGGCTGCCTGATTGCCTCCCACTTCACCGTCGACCTTGGCCCCCTTGTGTTCGTTGGTGCGACACACATAGTATGGGAACACGATGAAACACGGTGCTGATGCTTGTGACGCCTGCATAGGTCCCATGGCCTCGTCCAGCTCGTGCTTCAGAGGACAGAACTGCTCTATCGGCCTCAACACGACATTTCCGTCCATCATGGCGACGAGCGACACTCTGCGGGGGCACACCATGATTCGACCAAGCTGCTCCGCTGGACTCATAACTGCAGGGCTGTCCCTTAACCCTACCAACGGCACTGTGGGAACCAGTGAGGCTGAGACGCTTTATAATTTCGGTGCATTCGACGGGAACGTTGGAACAAACGCCCTCTGTTTCTGCTCCCCCAGCCATAGCGACTGCAGCCATCCATTAGAGTTTGTGACCTCGCTTGGCGAGATGAATCTGGCCGGTATGAACGAAATATTGACATAAGGTGAGTCAGAAGATGAACCGGTATGCTTTCTTCGTTTAGGCCCAAGGCTGGCTCACAGCAACAAGACGTGTGTACAAAACACCAGCTGCTCACTGGCTCTAACGGGTCACTATCTTTCTGCCTCCGACTCCATTATGCTGCTCGATCGCTGCGGAAGCGCGAGCACACATCCTCACTGGGTCACAAGGCAACCGCTACTCGGCCAAACTATGCACAACTCCAGCTCCTCAATCGCAAATATAAGCACTGAATGGCCCTACGACTTCGATACTAGCATGGGAAGACACGGATACGTCCCTCTCATGTTCGAATCGTTCAATCAGGAGTTGTTCCGTATGTTGGGCAGTGGGAGATGTGCTGGTAGGTGCTTATTCACCTGAAAGCCTGACATTGTACTGTTGTCTTCGAATAGGTGCACAACCAGGACAGCCAATCGTCTTGCGCCTTCAGAGCCCAATAGCTGCCAAACTGCTGGCGATTTTGCAGTACGAGCGGGGTTTGTCACAGTCAAGGGTGAGAGGGAGGGAGGGAACGAGGAAGGAAGGGAAGGTCGATTGTAGCGACACTAGGAGTTTACTCTTTATGCTTTGGCAGGCGTGACCAGTGCACATATTCTCGCCGTGTGTACGCGAGGAGAGCCTTGTGAAATAGCCGGTGTCCAAGGACAGTACCTAGAATCATCTGACAGCGTCTTTTTCACATCATCCCCCGCCCTCTGCCAAGCGCCTGTCTCGCCTACACTCGGCATCCATCCACCAAACCCGGCGACCGCTGCAGGAGTCGGATCAGCCTATGTCTTTGTGTTGGGTCCAGCACGCAGCCCCCCCGGCAGCATCTTCACGGCATGCTGGTGTGGTGAAGCCGTCCAGTCGGCTGGGCCGGCAAATGCCAGCGACGCCTTCGTGTGCGAGAGTGCCAAGCCAGTGGGCAATGCCTTCATTGATGGTGAGACACGGAGAGACAAACACCATGAGTACACTCGGACCAGGTTCTTGTCTGCAGGACCTCCAAACGGACAGGTGTTTGGCGCTGCGAGTGGCGTCAAAGTGGACATTGAAGTGAGCAACGAATAAAGATAGTCCTTGCCCCTATCTGTCTTTTCTCTTTTTCTATTCAGATCATCACTTTGGGTGTCCCTTCATTCGATCCGGCTATTTTCATTGCTTCCGGCAACTCTAAGTGCAGATCCCTTGTCCACCCCTTCTCTGACGCAGTCGCTGAGCTCCTTCCATCTGCCGACTGCACTCCACTGGGCTCGTCAATGAATGTCAGCGGCATGATTGGAGCGTCCAGTGTAGAATGGGAGGGACTCAGTAGAGTGGGAGGCCTTAGCAATGGGACAGTGGATGTCTCCTGGTACACATGTCCGTATGGTGGTCCGTCAGTCAACGTCACGGGAACCTACAAGGTGAAAGAGCACTTTCACAAGAAGGACTAAGTTGTTCGACGAAGTCTCTGTCTCCAATTTTCCCTCAGGTGTGTCTTGTCGGCGACCGCAAGTCGCCTCTGGGCGTGGGCACTGCCGTCGGCACTCTGAACGTGCTGCAGAGGCTCGACTTGTGCGACGGAGAATGCACACTGGGTTACCTTTGTGATGAAGACCCGACGTTCAACAACGGCACGTGCAGGCCTCTGTGCGGCGACGGATTTAAGATGCCAGAAGAGGAATGTGACGACGGTCAGCTGCGCGTGCTGCGTGTTTTCTGTCATTTCTGTCCGTGGAATGTCTTTTCTGTCTTCTGCAGGAGACCAGCTGGCGGGCGACGGGTGCTCAGGCCGATGCACGATCGAGCCAGGCTTTGTCTGCGAGGTCATTCAAGCAGTGTCTAATGACACAATGCTTAATGACACGGACACCGGCGATGCCTTACCTTCGGGCCCGTCCGTGTGCGCCATCAGCTGTGAGACAGATGAGAGCGACAACTCTACCCATATCTGCTCTCGTACTCAAACCCCGCCGACGAATATCTTGCTCAGGGTAGAAGTCACCAGCGCGTCATGAAGCCTGATGCAAGTCGTGCATGTGTTTGTGTCTTTTTCTTTCAGTGCGTGTCTGCATGTGGCGATGATACGGCTGATTCCAACACTACCACACCCATCGCCAACGAGACGTCAACTGAAGAGCGGTCTACCATCGGGTGTCGCCAAGCGGAGCTCAAATTCGGAGAGAAACAAATATGCGTGCGGCTAGAGGAGGCCCAAATGGTGAGACCTCTGCATGACACTGATTGTCTGCTATGAGATTGCTGATCGTTTACTGTCGTGGCCAGGTCGCTGCGGAATTCGTTGACGGCTATGCAGGCATTCGTATCACTTTTGATGTTCCGATTGACACCCAGAAGATCCCGCTGGCTGATGGCAACTGCAGCAATGTGTTAGCGGACGAGTCCGTCTTGTCTCTCGGAGTCAACCCTCTCTGTTCGTGGGTCTCGTCAAAGGTCATCTACGTGCAGCTTGGCGCGAAGTCTCTCATGAAGCGATTTCAGCTGATTACCATAAAGGCGGGTGTGCTGCAGCGCCAAGACGCTGTGCGTGAGATCGGCTGGAACGGCACGTCGGATCGACACTCTGTCAAGGTGACTAAGGCGGCAGACCTCGGCGTTCTCGTGCCCACGGTGGTACTGAAGGGTGCCAAAGCGATCAGCTCTTGTGCTGCCCTTGAAGTCACTGGCATCGAGAGCACAGGACACGCCGGCAGGCTATTTGAGAACATCACATGGTACACACCAGAATGATACAAGAGGATGACTAGCTGCTGGCTTTCCTTGTTGCACACAGGACGTGTGATGATCCTGCTATCTGTACGGACGAGCTCCACACATATCTCGCGTCTTTACCCAAGAACGAAACGTCGTCCCTTACCATCGAGGTGCCGCCACAAATCGTCTTCCAGCTTGGCCAGCACAACGCCAGCTCGAAACGCGTGAACCTGACTCTGTCTCTGAGGATCACCAACTTCCTTGCAGAAACGGCCACGGACTCATTTACCGTGTCTATCCTCATCGGAACACGCATCCCTGTCCTCGACTCTGTCACCGAGCCAAATGTGACGATACAGCGGTCGAGTTCTCTTCTGCTAGAGGTGGCTGTGTCAGCGCCTGCCTCAGAGGGCATCTGTGAGTCCCTCGAGGCCGCAAGTGGCAGCAGTCGCATCATGATCGACTGGACGAGTGAGCCTGACGCCTCCTTGGTAGAGATGGGCTTTGGCGTCAATCCAAGAATCCTACGATTGCCCCCGTCGACGTTGGAGTATGGAAGTCAGTATGTGTTTGCTGCCGCGGCGTATTTCAACACGACCCCCGGCGACCGGTGAGTAGGCAGCTGGTCGCTGCATGTCCTCATCCTTTCATTTCTGTCTCCTTCCCTTCAGGGTGTCTATCGCATTTGAGGTGACTGTCTTGCCGCCTGCCCCTCCCATCGCACTACTCGTATCGCCTTCTCAAGCATCCGAAAGATGTACTCTTATTTTGGACGGGAGCGGCTCCTATGACCCCGCAGTAGCCGATGTCTCGTCTGCCGCCCTTGATGACAATGCCACCGACGCTCTTGTGTACTCCTGGTTCTGCTCCCCCGAGAATAACACGGACGCCGGGTGCTTTGCCAGGGGCGGTAATCGTTTTGGCCACGGGCAGGCTGTGGAAATTGTGACCCCGGACGTCGCTGGTGTTTACCGCTTTATGATGAATGTCACTGCACTGTCAACTGATTTGACTTCAAGCGCCTTTGCCCGAGTAAAGGTATCGCAGAGCGCGCCTCCCCCTGTGTCGCTCACACCCCTCCCTGACGAAGTGTCTCCCCAATTACGACTGGACCTCTCTGGCTCTCTCGCTGGCTCAACTGATTGCTCCGTCGACCAATATGCGCACCAAGATAGAATGAAATGGCTGATGGCTGAGGGTGATGGGGAGGGCTTGCTGACATACAATGCGACGGTGGCGCGAAACACAGCTACTAGTGGACTTCAAGTCTACGCCCTGGCTGGCCGTGTCCCTCCATTTGCGCTTACTGCTGGGGTATCGTATACGTTGAGGTTTGCCCTTTCGGACGCTATGCTTGATGACGAGATGGCAGTCACTGCGGTGAGGAGCGGCGATTCCGGGGTTTTTACGTATGAGGGGGGCACATTGCTCGTCGACCGACCTCCATTTGCCGGAAGCGTTGAGGTCGCACCACTCGACGGCAATGCCGTGATCGAGGAGTTCACCATGTCTCAGTCAGGGTGGCAAGACGATGACCTGCACTGCTGTACGCATTCGCCATTGTCGATGCGGAGGTAATGAGACGCACGCGAACACGAAGGCGAATGAATCTTTACCGTCTCATGTGCAGGTGGCAGCAAACGCGACGAGTGCAGCCGAGCTCCTGCAGAACAGTACGATCCTCAAGGCATGGGATCAGAAGAGGCGATTCAAGACGACGCTCCCTCCTTCAAAGGGTCGCAATGAGTCCTATTTCATTGTCCTGGGTCGAGTTGAGGACAGCCTCGGCAGCCGATCGATGGCCAGGAGTGAGATCGTCACAGTGCGCCGACCTGTCGTCAAAGCGGGTGAGACATGGCAAATATGACGTCACACGGCTTCAACGATCTGTCTGCCTTCTGCAGACCAGCTTATCGGAACGCTGGACAAGATCGACGCTACGTCAGACCCGTCAGCAGCCCTCAACTCCCTGCAGGGGGTGTCTGAGCTGCTGGTAGGAGCGGACGAGACAACTGAAGAGGTGTCGGAGGAAGAGCAAGAGGCCAAGAAGGACGCTTCGCGGAACCTTGTGAACAAGTTCGCCCTTATGGTGGACGTGCAAGGGGATGGCGAGCTGACGGAGGATGCCGTTTCGCAGCAGATGGCTGCAGGCGCATCGATCGTCGAGGCCACCTCCAAGTCCGGCGCTCTCGACCTCGATGTACGTATACTGAATTCCATGCGCTTGTTTGTTGAGATCGTCCTTGGTCTTTTCTGCATGGTGCTGTGCAGGTGGCTGAGAAGGCAGCCACAGCTCTGGAAAACGCACTCGATGGTGCCAAGGGCGTTGGCAAGATGACTGTCGACACCGCATCCGATGTGGTCTCCTCTGCTGCTCTCCTATCGACTCAACTCAGTAAGGCGAACACCTCAAAGCGCTCACTCTCTACTGATGGATCGCTCGCTGCTCATGTTACCGTCAGGTCTTTCCACCCCTGCCCCATCGGCTAATGCCACGACCAACGACACAGCCGTCACGGCCAATGGGACATCGCAGGCAGCAGGGTTGTCTAAGGCGGTGCGGGGCATGCTGGACAGTGTTGGGTTTCTCGTTGGCGAGGGGGTGGAGGTGGGCCAGGACGCCACAGTCACGATGGGAGCCATCAACCTCACCGTAGCCAAAAGGGACGCTGATGTAAGCAGAGAGACAGAGCAGCAGAAAGAATGGAATAGCACTGGCGTTTCGTTTGTCGTCAGTCGCTGTCATCCGATGGCTTCAAGTCCAGTGGGGCTGGGCCGGAAGTCACTCTACCGCCTCTCAATCTCACCAGCACGAGACGAATGACGCGATCAGAGCGCCGCCGGCTGCAGAGTGCTCCAGGCAGCACATCAAGGAGACGTGGCGCTAATGACGTCAGCATCCAATCAGTGCAGTGGCCCACAAACCCATACGGCTATGCTGCCGACACCGGCGACAGGAACGTCAGTGACACCGTCCTCTCTTTCTCTGTCAGGTGACACAACCGCATGCATGGACAATATGCACCCTAGCAGAGCATTTTCGGTTGTGTTGCAGGCAGGGAGAGGAGACGTTGAGGCTCAATCTAACCGAGCCCTTCGTCTTCATCATGTACGCCCCGGTAGCCGGCATCAACAAAGGCAGCACTAATCCGCGTGAGAACGACACCACTGTTTGCGGCTTCTGGGACGACGTGATAGAGATGTGGTCCTCCTACGGATGCGAGGCGGACCTCAACGCCAAACTAACAATGCAACACACTTGACATGCAAATGCAACCACACGACAGGTAAGGTGATGGACAAACAGCTGCGTACGTGTCACTTTGGGTGGGTCTGCAGACTTTGCAACCTTCGCCGGCGAGTTTGAGAGTGTTATCGAGGACGCCAACACAGATGTCTTCGCAGCCGGCGCAGAGCAGCTCTTTGCAGGCGACGTCGACCCCAACAATGTCGGCCTTTGGTTCGTCGTGACACTGACCGTGGTGATGATCGTCCTGGTATTACTGGCCGGCTGGAAAGACTGCCGCTTCGGCATGTCGAATGAGACTCTGAAGAAGGTGTGGATGCACGACAGCCTGCTGCGGAAGAAAGTGCAGACCCTGGACTCAAAGCTGCCAATGCTGAAGCGAATCCGGATGAGTGGGAAACACTTCTTCCAAGCCTTGTCGGGCAAGAAGCACCATCTGAGCGTCAAGCACCTGCAGGAATACAGGTGCGTGAGGAAATGGAATGCCCACTGAAGTGTTTCCATATGCACGTTTGTGGGCGCAGGGAAGTGCAAAACTATGCTCGGCAAGTGTCGATCTCTCCGGCTGTCCCAGCAAAGCAGCTGACACAGGCCAAGAGCGGCTTATCCCAGGCTAGCAAGTCCAGCAAGCGGCTCACTACTCTAAGTGTCGCTGAGGCCCTTAAGAACCCCACCACACAGGTCCGCAAACAGGGAGGCGATAAGGCCATTCCGTGATGACCTCCAATTGTCGTCTCACAAGGCTTCGCTCTCGAGCCGTCGCCAGACGAACAAGCGCAAGGCTGTCGTAGAGCTCTGGAAGTCGAGTCTTAAACAAGTACTCGAGATATGCATGTCTAATTGACTTTTGACGTGTCTCTCCTCTGCTGCAACACAGGTTGCCGCGACAAATCTCGAGAAGCGATTGGGTGCGGTTCTGCGCATCCAGTCCATGGTACGCCGCCATCGTGCTCGCAAGGAGTACGTGCAGCTCAAAGAAAACCTCAGGAGCGAGGTGCAAGGGGGCTGGCGGAGACTCGCAGAGGACAGGCTAGGTAATAAGAGAGAGGCCATCAAGCCCTGCAACCGTCTGGCAATGTATCCCTGTCGGTGTCATCTGCAGTGGTGTGGCAGGTGCATTGCGGCCTCCGCACAAGGGTGTCAAATCCTACTGACACCCTTGTGCGGCATGAGACCCTGTGGCAGCCCTGTCGGATGCACATTGGTCGTGACAGCCTCGTCATCCGGCCCTGGACGCTCTACAGGCTAGCGTCGCCCTTCCTGCAGCCCGTGACGGTGCCTCTCACATCGATCATCGATGTCAAGCAGACGGATGACCGGGATGCCACTCGCATGCAAAGTTAGGGGACAATACAGGGATCCACTGTCCTTCGTGGTAGGCCAATGAAAACAGCATGTATTTTGAATGACACATCTCCTGTTGTCAGGTGCTCCATCGCATTCATCGCAGCAGCTGGGCCGTTCCTACACGAGGAACCTAGCAGCATTTCGCTCGGAGGTGCCGCTCTCGTGGGTGCGGGAGTTGCGGCTGTGCGGAAGCGGCGACGATCCACCTAACGCACTCGTGATGGACCTGGAGATCCGCAGCGAATTCATTCTCGACCCACGGGCCCTTCATGGTGGGAGACACGGATGGACGCATACTCAGTAGGGAACGATGCATATCTTGTGTCTCCGTCAGGTCCCACGGTAGAGGAGACGCTGGTGCTCAGTACGTTCGACTACTCGGACGCTCACCAGCTGCATCGCACTATCCAAAGCCGCATCTCCCAGCCGTCGGCGGAGCTGCTCCCTGGCGCCATCACCGAGCGCATCCCGTCATTCAACCCCTCCCACACAGGCCAGATGCCCCCACTGATCGCACAACAGAGTGAGTCCAGCGAGGGCAAGAGCGCCTTCAACGCAGCTGCCAGATGGACGGCGGCATCGCGGACGCAAGATGTGCTGGCAGGGGTGTCGCGGTCGAGCACCAAGGAGGCAGAGGGAGCGACAACGCGCGGTGCTTTCATGCCTCCGGTCACTGATGTGTCGATTGCGGTTGAGAGTGGGGAGACTGAGGCGGAGGAAGGCGGCACTTGTTGGATGTGGCTGACGATCTGGTACGTCAAGGCTCTGCTGGCACCCGGCGCACAAGTGGCACGAGTTCAACCCCCACAGTGACCGCCCCAAACGAATGATTCCTGTCGGGAACATCAAATACGTGACGGTGACGGAGCCGCCCAAACAACCACTCTTGAGCAAGGAGGTGAAGCGCCTCCTCGAATATCCCGCGACAGGTGACCAACGCCCAGGCACAGATGTCTGTACGCTTGGCTGCTGCACACTCTATAATTGTGTGTCCATACCTTCCAGCGCGGACGCACGACAGCGACGCGGAACCGCAGCAAGACCTGGAGACGATGGAAATTGTCACTCGAGGAGGCGCATCTTACACCATCCGCCGCGCGGCTGACGTTTATCAACCAAGCCCAGACAGCTCCATCTCCCTCAAGAGCATGGAAGCTCAAATCAACCGCATGAAGCGGGACAAGACACTTCACGAGCTATTTGGCAAGTCGGCTCAAGAGCGCCGGAGAGCTGCCGACCAGTCGGACGCCAACACAGAGGCTTCGTGGACGGTACTGTCGAAACAGTACCAGTCGATGGTACCCATCACTGCCGGCGTGTGCCGTATTGGGGCTGACCTCTGCTGGGTGTGGCTCAGCAAGCAGCCCCTTGCTCTCCGATGCAAGAAGCTTCGGCCGGTCATTGAGGGCAACAAAGGCAGCACTGAGCCAACTGAGAGCACAGCAATGCGGCTCCTACGGCTTTCTGATGCCGCGAAAAGAGCTCAGGGGGCTGACAGGGGTCTTCCCCCTTTCCAGGCTCCGTCAATCCCCCGGCCGCCGCAGACAGGCTTCTTCCCGTTTGCATCGGGCCCGCCACCCCTCCCGCCCCCCCCCACCTCGATGCCACCGAGCATGGACACAAACGACGAGCCAGAGAAGGACCCTCCGTCAGCCGCGGAGCCTAGACACCATGTCGCCTTGGACATGCAGCCGAGTACTGAGGAGGAAGTTCCCGATGAGCAGCCGGCGCGTAAGCCCAAGAGGTCCGTGAAGTCCGTGACAATGAAGATCGACCCGGAGGTGTCCATGGAGCTGCCCAAGAGCCCTCCGCCATTGCCGCATGGTGACGAAGACGGCATAGAAGAGGACTTAGGCGACGTGGTGGACCGCGACACCGCCGTATTAACCGACGACGACCGGGAGGCACTCATGGCGTCGGGTGGCATGATTGACGGTGTGCCTGACAAAGCACCCCACGAGCTCTGCGTCAAGATATTCTGGCAGTCCCTGGCCCGGCCGGGGAAGGTGGAGGACGTCAGGCTGCGATTCCCAAACCTCAAGTCCGCGACTGAGACAAAGGACTTCTTGCATCAGTGGATCGCGCATCAGCGGCAGCAAGGGCGGACGTCGCCCCTGTTCTCGCCCCCCGTGGCTGCCAAGACGAGGCTGCCCTCCCGGTCATTCATGAAAAGCTTCAGCCGTTCAAGTCCCGGAGCACTCACAGTGTGCATGTGGACAAGCGGGGGAGGAGTGGGCAGCTGCCGGGTGGAGTGGCCATCGATGACGACGACGAGAAGCTGATAGAGAAGCAGATAGAAAAGATCAAATACGCAGAGTGGGGCGCATGGCGGACCGCTCTGGCCGTTGTCGGGAGGGAACATCCCATCGCACAGGTAAGACAGACAGACAGACAGATCTGAATCACATCCTCTTATGTCTCGGGTCCCTGTGTGCCGGTGTGTTGGTAGATACTACGGCCTGACCCTGAGCTGTCGTCCGTGCAAAAGAACCTGCTGCTGTTTATCGGCATTTACACCTTCCTCACCGTGTCGGCACTGTTCCTCGGCGCTGTGGGGGTGAGTGAACCCCAACCAAGCAGCAGAAAGATAACTAACCTCCAAAGGCCTCCATGAATGGCTCTGTCCAGGTGGACTCTCCCGAGATCTTTTCCTTCCTGCTGTTTGGGCAGCCCTTCAAGCTGACGGTCCGCAACCTCATCATATGGATCTTGTCGCTCTTCCTGTCCATCCCGGTCCCACTCATCATCAACAAGCTCTTCAGGAAAAAGGTGACTGACCCTTGCAATGATTGCACATCCATCGCGTCTCCGTTTGCCATACATGTGTGTGTGTGTGTGTTGCGTCACGCCATGCAGGTGCCGACCCCTCCCAAGTACAAGAAGTACCGGAAAGAGCTCAACAGGATTCGGGCCGCCAACGAAAAAAGAAGAAGGACAGCATGAAGGCCAAAGCCATGACCACCACAGAGGTGCGACCCAGCACATGACAAGAGAGTGCATACCCTACACGATTGTGTGCGTCTCTGTTCGTGTGTGTGTGTGCAGCTGGAGCAGATGGAGGGCGGCACGGATGGCCGTCGGTGGCAGGAGTGGCGCGAGACACCTATGACCGAAGAAGAGAAGGACAAAACCGTCAAGACGTGGAGAATCAAGGAGAATATCGGGTACGTAAGCATTCACACATCCCTCCAAGTGAAGTGTGGCATTTTTTCGTTGACAACGGACGGACACAGATACTTCCTAGCCGCCCTGTGGCTGTCCGGCTGTGTGTACTACCTGCTGGCTTTCACCGTGGTCTTCCCGTCATCCATCGGGGCCATCCGTGAGTTCTTCCTAACCGCATCCTTAGACCTCATCCGCGCCAACATCATCGGCCCCATAACCAGAATGATTCTCCTCATTGTCGTCATCAGACTCTCCCTTGGTAAGGTGACAGACCAGGCGAAGTGAACAGCACGGCCAGTCTATGTCTCATGTCTCTCTGTCCCTTTTTGCAGCCACGAATGCGTTCGACGGTGTGCTGTCGGCCTTCCCGGCGCTGTTTGACTTCTCCTACCTGCAGCACCGCACCGCTGCACATGTGCAGGAGGACGTGCAGCTCTTTGAGGAGTGAGAGAGTGGGGGGCACGCTGCCATCTATATGCAAGAATGATCATCGTGCTGTGTGTGCACATATGTGTGTACAGGCGTGATGTGGGCATCACAGCGCCCGAGGATCCGGGTGACGGCGATGCCTTCGACGGTCTGGGGGATGTGGCCATTCCTGAGGCTAACCAGGTCGCCAACATGTTCAGGCGATGACAATGATGATATCCCGTAGCTGTCTCTCGGGTGTATTTGGCGAGCCGCATGGCATAGCGTAGTCTTGTCAGCGACACACCAATGCAAATTGACTGTAGCAGGCTCGCAGCCAGCAAGTAGTGAGTGCATATTTCATGTAGCCAGCCATGCATGTGTCGCATCGCACTGCGTCGCCTGTAGATCTCATTCATTCGCACGACCGCAGCTAGTCGTGAGATCGTCTCGCGAGGACAGTAGAGTAGCATGTTGGCATCGCTCCTGCGCATGTCTGTCTGTCTGTCTGTCTGCCTGCCTCATGCACTGTGTGTGGCTGGGGACTTGAATGGCTCCCTAGTCATGTATCGATGCACGGATGGACACAAACAAACACCGACTGGCCTACACGTGAGTCAAGACACTCTGTCTGAATGCAATGCCTCACTCACTTTGCTCAAAAATGGCCACAAAAAGACGACCTCACTCATTCGGCCTACACTGCTGCCACGTTTTTCTTCCTCTCGGTGAGGTGCACCTTCAGACCCATGGGCACCAGTGTGGGGGCGACGCCAGCGATAACTGGGGGATAGTCGGGGGGCAGCGACACGTCGAAGTCACGCAGCAGGGACGCAACCATGACCTAATGGATAAGGCCACAGACAGGCGAGATGGAAGGAAAGCACATGATAGGCGCTCATGCATCAGCCCGACCTACCTACCTGGGCTTCCAGCAGGGCAAACTTCTGACCAATGCAGTTCCTGGGACCTGGGTCCATCCATCCATCCATCCATCCACACACACACACGTACGTACTTGCCACCTGCGCTTCTCCTCTCGTCCATCTCTCAGGTGTGTGTACCTGCTCCAAAGGGTATGAAAGAGTGGGTGTGCCTCAGACCGCGCCGCGACGGCGTCTCCCCGTTGAACTCCTTTGCCGCCTCCCTGAGAGCGGCATCGGCCCACCTCTCGGGCTTGAAGGTGTCGGGCTCATCCCAGTAGGTCGAGTCGCGGTGGACGGCATACGCACTCAGCCACACGAACGTGCCCTTCGGGATCACCTGGGTGCCGACATGGGTGCGCTTGGTGGCCACGCGGCCCACGAAGGGGACGGGAGGATACATTCTGACACACACGCAGACAGAAACACACACAACACAACACACATACCATACACCGTGTGCGGTGCGCTTTTGGGTGTGCATCTGTCTGTTGCCTGCCTGGGTGGGGTTGCTGAATGAGCTGACTGACCGTAGAGTCTCCTTGACAAAGCATCTGAGATAGTCGAGTCGGCCGATGGCGTCGAAGGTGATGGTCTCACCGGCCGGCACCACACTGTCGAGCTCACTCTGCAGACGATCCTGTTTGTTGGTAAAGGGGAACCACACAACACACATAAACCACACACGCATCGCATGTGTGTAGGTAGGGTAGGAGGTGAGGTTGTGCTCACTCACCTGGACGTCTCTCCTCGTCGCGAGGAAGTACATAGCCCAGGTCACGACGGATGCTGTCGTCTCATGACCCGCCTGCATTGCAATGGGCGCACCGCACCGTACACACATACATTCACACATACCTACACGTCTGTCTGTCTCCCCACCCTCCCGGAGACCCCACCAACAAAAATGTGAGCGCTTCATCGACGATCATCTCATCAGGAATTCCATCCACAGCTATCAGCTCGTCCAGCAGGTCCTTGCCGCCCTCGCTGCCTCTGCTCGTGTGTGTGTCCACCCCGTCCGCCCTCTCCTTGCGTCTGATGACCATCTCCTGTCTGATCTTGGCGGCGATCTGCTGTCGGTGAAAGCGCACGCCGCCGCCAGAGGGGATGGGCAGCCTGCACCAGAGCGGCCCCACCATCATGCGACCGAGGAAGAAGGCCACAGGGTAGGCAAAGATCCGCTGCCACGCCCACACCATCCAGTCGTGGTCGAACGACCGCGAGAAGGCGCTGTCGATGATGATGCTCAGAGTCAGCTCACTGACACACATTCACACAAACACAAGCCAAGCCAAGCCACCATCGACTGCATCCTTCCTCCACACGTGGCGGTGTGCATACCCGAGGTCAGCTCTGGTGCACTCGAAGGCACCCTTGTCCTTGATGGTTTGGTGGATCCTGTCGAGTGTCTGTTTGCAGTTGGCGGCCATGATGACCGACACGTCCTTGAGGGCACTGCATCCACACACAGGATGGACATCAGGCTCCACAGGTACAGAGTCGTCATGGCTGAGAAATGACCTGAAGTGGAACATGGGTGTCAGGAGCTTCCGCTGCCGATGCCACACCGCACCAGTCGACAGAGCCAACCTGCACGCGCTCACACACAGACAGACAGCCAGAGACTGGATTTATTCCTGGAGCCAGTGCGCCGTCTATGTGTGTCGCGGGTGTCTGCGGCGGCTTCCACACCCACCCGTTGCCGATGATTTCCTTGATGGCCGAGGTGGGCGGCTTGATGAAGGTCTCGTTGTCTTCCAAGACGGCTGCAATCATGTCGGGGTCATTGATCGATATCGCCTGGCCGAGATTAAACGAGGGGCCGATGTTGACCACCTGCACACAAACACACAAAGACACAAAGACACGAGCACTTGTTAGCGTGGGTATGCATTTCCACGCCACCCTTACTTTGTGGAACCTCGTCGGATCCTTCGGATCTCTGGCGAACAAACACAGAGCACCGCGAGCAGTGCCAACCAAAGCATGCGAGGAACTTCCTTCCTCCCTCCCCTCAGGCTGCCGACCTCATTGCATTGTAGAAGTCCGAGAAGTGTTGCCCAAAGGCATCGACTATCGGCAGCAGCTTCTCCGGTCGAGGCAGGTCCTTGAGGTCCTCCAGCTGGATGAGGTAGCGCACACCCGCCCACATGCACCGCACCACGCCGTAGCTGCCGACGCCGATGGCCGCGTACTGCAGGGCCTTCCATGTGTCCAACGTGACAGGTGGTCGGGAATCACTCATCTTGCCCAATGTATGATGCAAACGGCGTGGCCTATCCGCTTCTCCAGATCTCTCTCCAAATCCGTCGCGAGCTCAAGCTTGCAGCGTTTTCGGTGCGGATCTATCTGGCAAAGGCACTTGTTTGTGACGTCATATGGTGTGTGTGCTGCTGCTGACAGCGCTGGTTTTGCTCTTTCATTCAATCGAAAGCTTTCGTTTGCCCTCACCGCTCGTGTGCTCACTGCAGCCCGGAGGCAGCCGAGGCGTCAAGATGGTGCAGGAGACGCTCTACGACATGCCCATCAGCAACCACGGTCAGACGATGCATGCGCCAACCATCATCTGTGTAGGAGGCTGACTTGACTGGCTCTGTGTTCTGTGTGTGTGTGTGTGTGCAGGTGCCCGCTGCCGGATGATAGTGTACAAGAAGGGCATAGAGGACCGGGTCACCATTCGCCCGCCAGGCGACCTGGGAGGCCTCAAGAGTGAAGAATACCTCAAAATCAACCCACAGGTGCGGGGCGTATGCATGGACCAGATGAGATGAGATGCCGCATCAACCAGACTATCACACACATGGCCATGGCACTGCACTGCAGGTCGGCTCTTTCTGTTGTGTGTGTCCTTCAGGGCAAGATGCCAACCTACGTGACAGACGGCGGTCTCCCTATACCTGAATCGGATCCGATTGCAAGATACCTTATCAATAAGTACTTGATGAACACAGGACAGGACAGACAGACGGGGCCACGTGGTTGTTCGTGTATGTGTGTGGGCGATGGTGCAGGTACCAGGGTGTGGGTGTGTCGTTTGTGCCGGCTGACGCCACTGCTCAGTTGCGGAGCGACATCGTGGGCCGGCTGCACGACGTCTACATCAGCCCCATCCAGGGCGCCATGTACAAGGCCGCACCGCCCTTCGGGCCGTTCGACGACCGGCAGGTGGGCGGGGTGGGTGCCGTGCTGCTCACATTACACTCACCATCCATCGATCCACAACATATGGATGGCTTCATTGGCTCGTGTCTGTTTGTCTGCAGGCGGCGTTGAGTGAGTTGAAGCGTCAGCTGGAGACGGTGGAGGCGTGTGTGTCCCCCGACGGGCCCTACATCACCGGCAGTGAGATCTCTCTGGCAGACGCGACCCTCTTCCCCACAATGGTCTTCATCACCTACATACTGCCCGAACAATTCGGTAAGTAATAAGGGGGAAGTGGTTCCTTCGTGTCTGTGTGTGTGTGTGTGTTAGTATGGATCGATCCTGTGTGTGAATGTGTGTGTTCAGGGTGGCAGCCTGCTGATGTGTTGCCTCCCAAGTTGGCGAGGTGGTTCCAGTGGATGCAGGCCAACGAGCCCTCTGCGAAGCGTGTCTTTGACGAGATCACCGGCGTCCTCAAGGTCAGTCAGCCATTCCCCAACCAACAAGATGACCGACCCGACCCCACAGTGCAGTGCAGCAGTGTATGTGTGTGTATCTGTGCGCAGGGTTGGTCTGAGAAGGGTCGCTGGACCACTATTCTGGGCGCTGGGCTCAAGGATCAGGCACCCGCTACGGTACGGTACGGATGGACTCAGACAACGGATTCCCTCTTGTGGTGCGGTGCGGTGCGTGGATGTGTCTGTGTGTGTGTGTCGACATGCAGCTGTTCGACAAGATAATGAACAAGCAGGTGTCCGCCGACATCGTTCATGAGGATGACAGGTCAGCCAAACACCCACTCCCTCCCTCCCTCCCTCCATGGGTCGTCGCGTCATATGTATGCGCAGGTGTATGGCCATTCGCGACATCAATCCGCAGGGCCCCACCCACGTGCTGCTCTTCCCAAAGAGGAGGGACAACCTCACACAGCTCCGCCAGGCCACAGAGGAGCACAAGGGCATCCTCGGACACCTACTCGTCACGGCTGCAAAGGTGGGTGGCACCACACCCATCAACACACACACACGGGCCTCACTGCCTCTCTGTGTCTGTGTGTGGACCTGTGTGTCGGGTGGCATTAGTTGGCGCGCGACGAGGGCTTCGAGGCCTACAGGATTGTCATCAATGATGGACCAAAGGTCAGTCAGCCTTGGCTGCAATAGAGAGAGATGGACTGACGTATGTATATGCAGCCGATCGAGTGTATGTGTGTGTGTGTGTGTCGTACCTGCCGTCCACACAGGCGTGTCAGTCGGTTTTTCACCTGCATGTGCACCTCATCGGCGGCCGCAGCTTCAGCTGGCCCCCTGGGTGATCGATCCGATCGGCGGCCGAGCCGACTCATGCGGTCCATGCTGCACGAAGACTGCTCGCGATTCATGGTTACGTGTGGGGCAGAAACAGAGATAACATACAGACCCTTTATGTTTGTGTGCGTATGAAGAGATTGCGTCATCACACATGAAGCATTCATTGAGTGAGCACACGAAAGTGAGTCCATGCAGCGCAGCCGAGCATGCTTCAGAACGACATATAAAGAGTATGCACACACACACACATACGGTACGGACACACTCTGGCGGCCAAACAGATTCCCTCCACTACGCATGTCTCGTAGATCGCAACGCGAGCTCGAATTAAGGGAAGGGGAGCGAGTTCTATTGCCGTTGCAGGGATGGCAGCTCCCGACAAACCCGAGCGCTGCCGCTGCTTCAAAGTCGAACTCATCGAGGTGTCGCCTCCCGGCAGAGAAGGCGAGCGTCTCCTGACGGCCCGCGCCGCCCGCAACAGGGCTCGCCAAAAGCTGCGGGCCGCCATGGGGATCGGCGACGAAGAGGACGAAGAGAACGAGGCGTGGAAGGAGAACAAGGAGTCGGGCGTTACCGTGCGGCGAAGAGGACAAGCCGTGTATGAGTATGACGAGCCTGATCCTTTCGGACCCTGGCACCACACGGTCCGTGTGGTGAAGTGCCGCAAGCCAGCATCGAAGATCAAGAAAGGTAGCTGCCCAGGTGCCTGCCCGGCACACGTCTGCTCACACAACTGTGTCCCGCCTTCTGCGCGTATCTCCTCACCTGTCAGGAGATGATGAGGAGGAGAAGGGGCTGTTCCCTGACGAGGACGCCGAAGATGAGGGACCTTCCGCTGATTGCCTGACTTATGGGTGTGTGTTGGGCAGATTACGAGCCGAGGGAGGACGACAGCGATGAGGACGGTAAGTGCCCGTTGACAAAGAACTGATGCACGCGCCACTGGCGTCTGAATGTGTGTGTCAGATGAGGATGAGGACGGGGACGGGGACGAGGACGAGGACGAGGACGTGGTACACACACCACACACACACAGTGCCCACGCAGAGTACAAGTGTGCCTCCCTCTCTCTCTCTGTGTGTGTGTGTGTGTCAGTTTGTTGGCGATGACGATGAGGATGACAAGGAAGCCCCCAAGGCTGCTGCCGCCAAACCCGAAGAGGCGGCCGACAAGGTCAGCCTGCCAGCCTGCCAACTGCAATCCACCTGCAGCAGCAAAGGACACTCTTGCATCTCGCCTCGCCATCACTCGTGTGTGTCTCTCTCTGTGTGTGTGTGTGTGGATCAGAAGCCTGCAGCAGCGGCGGCGGCGGCGGTGGGCAAGAAGAAGGAAGGCGAGGACGACGACGATGGTACGGCATAACCCTGCACTCTGCGCTAGATCGCCCTTCGTGTGCCCGCGCGCGCGCGTGTTGTGTGTGTGGTGTGTTAAGATGAGTCGAGCGACACGCCCAAGAAGACGCAGCCCGAGAATTCCAAGGCCAAGGCCAAGAACCCACATCCCAAGAAGCCACCCAAGGTCAGATCACACCACACTCCAACCGCACGCTCACCACTCGCTCAATCTCACACCCTATCTCTCCCTGTGTGTGTGTGTGTGATGAGCAGCAGCGTTCTGAGGATGATGAGGATGAGGGCGATCGCAAGGAGGACGTAGAGGGCAAGGAGAAGGGGAAAGTCCGTCGCCCACTGCGTGCTGCTGCCAAGGTACCATCCCTGCCTGATGCACACGACACAACACGCCCTCAAAGACAGCACACGCACGTAGGCCCTTCGCTGTGCAGGCGGCGGCACAGAAGATCAGGACTTTGAGGGGTAGATAGACAGACGAACAGATTGGTGGAAGGATGGATCAGCCGCTATCGTATCAGATCGAAAAGGGTGCATTGTCGAAAGACGCGGCAGAGAGGAGGAGAGAGACGAGTGTAGCCGTAGCCACATTGATTATCGGACAGCCATCGAGTTAGCCGACCGGCCAGCCACCTGCCGGCAGACTGTCTTATCGATCCGCCCATCCATCCATCCACATCCACACCATGCCACTACATGCCACACCCACGCACACACGGTAGCTCTCGGGCCGGGCGGCGGACGCCATGGCTCACGGTGCGTGGCTGGGAGAGGGAGAAGGGGTTGAGGGAGGGGAGGGTTGGGTGGCCTGTAGATACCTGCCTGCCTGCCTGCCTGCACCATACATGCGCTTTATACGCTATCTATCTGTACAGGGACAGACCGGCCCATGTGATGCATGCGTGGTGATTGGATGGATGGACCCACTACATGATTTGTCGGCGAATGAAATGAATGGCTGAGTGAATGAATCCAACCAAACGAGAGGTCACTCAAAGTCTGCATGTACTATTAGCAGAGCCACCGCACACTACAGCCACGAAGGATGAACTGATGGATGGATGGATCGATGGATAGATCGATGGATGGAGGAGTGGGTGGACTGGTGGTCGCCATTCATGACTTGACTACGTGTGGTGTGGGGCAGAAACAGACCGAGATACAGACAGACCCTTGTGCATGCGAGATGGAAAGACAGACGCATCACGAGCTCATTACGTCGTCACACACGAATGAAGCATTCATTGATGCGATGCATCCCATCCGGGGAGTCGACTCAGCACACGTCCGGTAGGGATGGACACACACAAACATACGGTAAGGACACACTGGCTGGGCTGGCGGCCTGGCTGTGTCGGTCGTTGGGTCATCGATCGACCACCAGCCGCCCGTCGGATGCGATTAAATAAATGCACTCACGCAACACATATACACACATACTGACCCTATACACACATACACCAAGGAAAGATGGACAAAGAGCGAATCGATCTCAGCAGAGGGACTGTGTCGCCCTCACGTCCACACACAGACACACAACTGGTTGATGTGCCCTCTCCTCCCCTCCGCTGCCTTTCCCTCCGCCGCCCACGACACACACCGCCGCACGTCCACCACTGACCGCACCGCAGTGCTCTTCTCGCATCACTCACTCAGCCACTGCCAGCCGACGCCTGAAAGGCAACCAGGAGTACCGCAGGAGACCACAACGGCGTTTACGTGTACCCATCTCCTTTCCGTCTTGCTCTTCTGTCTGTCTGTCTGTCTGACCTGCTGCAGTGTGTAGATTTCCATGTCCACACACGTAAAGCAGTGAGCAGCAGCCATGGTGGCCCATCCGTCGATGGTGTCGTAGCTGCCTCTGTATGTCGCGCCGGCGGGCAGCTCGTCCCTCTTCAACCACTGGTAGCAGCGACGCAGATCGCCGGCCGGACGACAATCCGGCCACCCCCACCCCAGCCACAGGCGGCCGCCACCGATGACCACACTGCCACCACTGCAGCCGTCGTTGGTGGCCTTGACCACCCCCTGTGGGCCGGCGACCTTCAGATACTGCTGGTTGTGCGGCACTGCGATGTGTGTGATGCCGTCGGCCTCGCTAAAGGCGCCACACACCGAGTAGAGGGCCAAGGGGCACTTGGTCTTCTCCACACCAGTGGCGTCAGCCGGCTGCTTGAGCTGTCCGTTGATGTGGGCGGCGATGACGTGGTCGCCGGTGTCCTTGGTGACCAGCAGCAGATTGGTGGCGGTGCCCACCTTGGTCAGCATGGTGGGGTACATCCAGCCGTCACACGCACCCCTGACACACAGCCACACACACACACACAGAGAGAGAGAGAGAGAGAGCGACTCAGTGACATCACCACTGTTTCTCTCAGTGGGCTGGTCACCCACTTGTAGAGCAGCTTCGGCGTCGCATTGGCATTGCCCGTCATGTTCATGAGCTCCTGCAGCTTCGCATCGGACAAGATGGGCTCGGCCGGACGAGTCGTCGACACCTGCACACAGACAGACAACAACGGTCCATCACAGACACATCAACTCAGCCGCCCTTCGGTGAGGTCTGACTGACCTCATATACCTCCAGCCGCTGGGCAGTGAAAGAATGGCTGCCCGCCAGAGTGGCCCGTCCGTTGGTGTCGTAGCTGCCCAGGTATGTCTTCCCGGCGGGCAGCTCGTCCCTCTTTTCCCACTGTTTGCAGCTGCGCAGATCGGCCGCCGGACGACCATTCTGTCCATGCCCCAGCCACAGGCGGCCGCCACCGATGGCCACATTGCCACCACCGCCGTCGGTGGCCTTGGCCGCCCCCTGTGGGCCGGAGACCTCCACAAGCTGCCAGTCGTGGGGTAGTGTGGTTTTGACGATGCCCTCTTCGTCCTTGAACGCCCCACTGATGGAGTAGAAGGTGACGAGGCGGCCGGTGCGCACCGCTGCTGTGGGGTCGGCTGGCGCGATGAGGGGGCCGTCGATGAGGCACGCGAAGATGTGGCGGCGAACGTCACTCTTGCGCTCGGGCTCGATGACGAACAGCCGGCCGCCTTCTCCGCCCGCCACTCGGTCGAGCAGAGCCTCGTGCGACCAGCCATGCTGAGAACTCCTGACGCACCCACACAGATAAACAGATCCTGTCTGTCGTGTGTTCTCATTCTCTCTGCTGTGTGTGCTCACCTGAAGAGGCACTGTATGCGGCTGTGCGATTTGCCGATCATGGTCAGGTACACACACTCCATGAGGTCGTACATCTCAAAGGCACTCAGCAACTGCGGCCAGTCGTCGGTGCTGGGGAGGGGCGTGACGGCGTCGGGGGCCAGGCGACGGCGGCGAAGGAAATCCACGACCCTGTGAAAGAACCAGGCCACCCACAGATGTCCTCTGTCTGCCTGTGATGTGTCGCCTTACTTCTCGAAGGTGGCCGTCGGCACACTGGCATCGGTGACGGGTGC